TACTGCTAATACTGCTTTTGCTTCTGCTCCTCCTAAGCAGCAGTAGTAGTAATAGTAGTAGTAGTAGTAGTAGTAGGAGTAGGAGTAGGAGTAGGAGTAGGAGTAGGAGTAGGAGTAGGAGTAGGAGTAGGAGGAGCAGCAGCAGCAGCAGTAGCAGTAGTAGCAGCAGCAGCAGCAGCAGCAGCATATATCCCGATTGTGGTTTATTTGTTTTGTGGGTGCGACTCCTGTTCCCGTGCACATTCCAGGGCGCCATCTTTTCCTCCACAGTTTGTGAGCATTTTGATTCAAGGTGCTCCGGAGGGCCTAGGCTGGCGCAACAGGCAGTCAAATGTGGCCTCCTGTTGGTGCGGCAGGCTGACCGACCTGATCTGGAACATGGCTGTCCACACGGATCAAAATGCACCCCAAAGGCTTAAGATTGACGAGGAAGTTCACCGCAGACTTCCTATTTTGCTCCACCGCCTGCGTTGTCTGCACTGAAGTCTGTAGCAAAGCCGCTCCCTCCTTTCTTTCCTTCTGCATGACAGCTCGAAAAGGCAGCCAGGACTCTGTGATGAATATTGCCAGACTGCAAGCTATTATCGGCAGTGGAGGCATTAAAAACAGGAAGAAAACCCAGGGCTCGTAATCTCCAAGATTTCCACAGCAGCCGAAGCTGTTGTCTTGAGGGAGCGGAAAGCTGCCGGCATAAGTTGTTGGACAACAGGTCCTGCCGGCCTCGAATTGATCGACTAACTGACTAACTGATGCAAGCTCTTCACTATCTTGAAGCTTTCTTGGCTAAAATGGCACCTCCTCTGGATGCACTCACGAGTGCTGCGTGGTGGCTCTGCCACAGACTTGGAGTGTGTAAAACAATTCTGCGTCGGTTTTGCCTGCGCATGAACCACCAGCTGCTACTGTTGCCACCTCAGACAGCTTTACCTCGCACTTCCGTTGGGCACGCCTCCGCGCATTTCTGATACCTAAGCCGACAACTGCGGCTGCCGTTGAGGGAGGCCCCCGATACACAACTGCAATCCTGAAATAGCTGCTGGACCAAGTTGCGGCTGCTTTTGCTTTTTCCACGAGCTGCATCACTTGCTCTTTGGCCTTTGTCAGTGTCAATGCGTCGCGACGTGCCTGTGACATGTCCGCCCGCCTGACCCATCATCGGTGCTGACTTAGTCTTGGCCACTGCGAGTGTGTCGTTGAGGCAAGGTTTCAACCTCGGAACGACAACCTCTGTCAATCTTTCGCAAACGGCAGGTGGATTCGATTTGCGGAACTTAATGTCTGAATTAGGCAAGAGTCTGAGCTGATTTGTACGCCCCAATGCCTGCAGGTAGGAGCAACCACATCCAGGATGTGCATTTTGCATGTCACAGGTGCGATTGTTAAATGGTGGATCATGGAGCCTGTGCCAACGAAAAAGCCGAAAAGGCAATCCAGCATGGTGGAGGCTGTCAGAAAGACTCTCGTGCGCAGCTTGCTTGAGCAGGAAGTCTGGCCGTGAATGCACCATAAATAAACCGAGGCAATTCTGTCCGTCTTTCAAGAGGCAACACGCACGCTGAAAACGTTTGGATCTGTGCATTGAATTTGGCTGGGCTTGCCGCTGGGTTCGGGGCCATGGGAGAGGGCAAGCCCCCCGGCCCTCTGAGCCTCAGGGTGCAAGTGCCGAAAGGAACACCATGTGAACTTGTCATGACATTTTCTGAGATTTTTGCCCAGTGTTGCGAGGACGCCCTGTAAGTGCAGCGTTCAGTATTCCACGCTCGGTGTCTGCAACACCTTGGCTTGTGTTGGCCGGCCTCCTTGTGCCGGGTTCAGTGGACCAGGAACCAACCTGTGAGCAGTCTCGTGCATGACTGTCTCTCATGCTCAGTTGCCAAACCCAGTATCAGTCCGGGGCTTTAAACCCTGGCAGTGCATGCAATGCAAAAGCAATTCTTCAACTTCAACAACTGCCGATTTCTACGTGCATATTGAGTGGGAGACGGTACAGGTGGACCACCCGCTCCAACAGGAGCTCGTCCCACTCCCTCAGATGTCTCTGACTTGTGAATTTCTTGCGGACACGCTGAGGTTCAAGCTCCCGCCAAAGTTGCACCGGTCTGCCTCAGATGGCATGTACGATGTCTGTGTTTGGGTTTCGAAACCCGAGCTCGACAGCAGATTGTGGCAAGACAAGAGGCGTAGTCTGATCGAATCCTTTCTCCAGCTGTGACAGGGCCTGACACGAAAGCCCACACACCATGGATACTCTTACATCCCACACCGGCTGAAATTCATTCGCGGCCGGACCTCGGGAACATCCACTTTGCCATCAGGGCCTCGGATTCCCGATGCTCAAACGGGGAATGTGATCCAGGGCGAGACGTTGAACGACACTCCAAAACAGGCTCCTGTCGCGTGACACGGGTTGCCAAGGTGGTTCTTCAAGCCATGTCGTACGACGTGTGTGTGTGTGTGTACTCTTCCGAGCGTTACCCACGGTCGGAAAATTTGCGTTACGTGTACCTGATGGATCTCATCGCCAGGCTGCGCTCCTCAGCGGCTACTCCAAGTTTCGAGCACTTTGGCAGCAGCCACAGGAGCTTCTTGTGCTGCTCTTCACTTTGAGGGAGAAGGCCTTGGTTGGTCACTTGTGCTACTCCATACGCGGTGTCACACATATTCAATATGGGCAGGTGGAGTTGCCATAAAGGGTGACTAGGTCTGTGGCGCTGCACGACCGCTTGGAAGTCGCCTTGGCTCAAGGCAAATCTGAAGAGCACAGAAGCTCAGCGCTGCAAGCCCAGCTGGGCGGCGTGCTCTCATGAACTGCAGTGACACCGTCTTTGCAAAGAAGCCGGTATATTGCTATCCTTGGCCGGTTCTGGAGTGAAGCTCCAGTTGAGTGTAGCAATTCTTTCATCACGTGCAGCTCTTGAGAGGTTCTGCCCCTTGCAGGACGTTCGTACCATCACCGGCTTCAGCTTTGTATCTGAGGCAAATGCGTATCAGTGCCTGTGGAAGATGCAGGCATTTTTGGTGCGCCGAATGCCTTGAGACTCCAAGCAGCTCCACGCATGGGAGCCTGCTGCAAACTGCAAACATCGTGTCCCTTGTGAACTGACACCATGTCCCGAATGACACTTCGTCTTCCGCCATCCCTGGTCTTTTGAAAGGATCTGAGAGAGCGGCACCAGGATTGAGCTGCTCAAGGTGCTCGTCGCGAATGGACCTGAGAAACGCTGAAAAGCCAAGTCTGGCTTGCGACTCTCCTAGAACCCTGCCACGACTGACAAAGCTCAGGAAGGGGCTTGACACCAACTCCTGCAATCCGGACATTCCAGCGGCAAGTTGCAGCCTCAGACAGAACACCGCTTCCCCTTTGGTGCAGCGGTCCAGTTGCTATGCGGCGTATCATGCAGCAATAACTGCTCATCTCTTTCAGGTGCTGCTGCGCAATAAAACGATCCAACACCTGTGCACATCTGCCAAAGCCCAGTGCATTCCACGTCTCCACAATTCCTTCGCACCCATTCAGCTTTGCACCCATGGCGCTTTGCAGGCCTCAGCCAACCGGAGGACTTTGCGGTCAACATTGAAGATCAATACTCTAAATTCACGAAAGTTGTGCGGTGACATGCAACGTCTTCAGCATTCGGCTGTGAATTCGTACCTGAGCTCCAGGATACACATCTCGAGCTTTGGCCTCGGGACGTTTCTCTGGTCAGGTCTTCAACTGTTCAGAAATACAGCAGATGCTCAAGTCCGCACGTGGTGGTGAAACAGGCCTTACACCTGCATGCCTGGACCTAGAACATCTTAATTAATGGCGACAAATGCTTCTTCAGGCCCCAGAAATATAACAAACGTGTCGTCCTTTGAGATCTCGGCGTCGTCCTCGGTCATGGCCTTCTGCGCAAGTTCGCTCAGCAGCAGCTTCGCCCAGTCCTCCACTCGCTGGTGCCATGCTGTGGCAAAATGCAGCATATGGGCCTATGGGCCCTACACAATTTCCCTGCACGATGAAGCTGATGTTGATGGCGATTCGTTCGTGACTGTAATGACGCACCCTAGCATCTGTAGAAGAAGGGGTAGCACCATAGCGGCCTGAGTGAGGAGAGGAGGGACCTTTCCACGTCTCTCGCTGGGACACTGCAAAGAAATAAAGAGCAGCACACCACCGAAAGGAAGCACCCGACGGCTGGCCAGGCAGGTTATATGTCTTAGGAAGAGTTTGCAAGGTAAAAGAGGCACCTTGAAGCAAGCCGCGCATCTCAAGGAGACGGGCTGGCACCAGTGCATGCAAGAGATAGGCATTGCAACTGCGCGCTACCTGAAGGTCCATTCCTACGACAGGAGGGGCAACAAAAGGGGCGGGCAGGGGGATAAGGGAAGACATCATGTCCTAGCTCGGAGCGGAAAGGCGACAGCAGTGGTCGGTCAGTCGCTGATTTGATCGCCGATTTTGGCAATTTCAATCCCGAGGCGGCAAGCTGCAACTACTGCTCCTGGCGACGCGCTCGCTCTGGTAACGTAACCGTGTCTTCACAACGCTCCCCTGTAACTGCTCCTAGCGACACGCTCGCTCTGGTAACGTAATCCACTCTCGCTCTGGTAATATATGTACTCGCATCGTCACAACTCTGCGACACACTCGCTCTGGTAACGTTATCGTGTCGTCCCGACTCTTCGCTAGTAGCTGCTGCCAGCGCCACGCTCGCTGTGGTAACGCAATCGTGTCTTCACAACTCTTCGCTGGTATCTTGCTACCAGCGACACGCTCGCTACGGCAACGTAATCGTGTCTTCACAACTCTTCGCTGGTATACAGCTCCCGGCGACTGGAGTACTCACGTCCGAGCTGGCAACGCAGGTCGGCGAAGAGGGGGCATTCAGAGAAGCAGTGCCGGGCAAAGGGTGCTGCATGGCCACATCGGCATGCGAGCTGCGCTGGAGCACCCCGCTGCCAGTACCTTCGGGTCGGCGTTTCGACGGCACCCCCGGCGGAAAACACAGAGGAAGGCAGCATCTTGGCCCTGCAATCTCAGGCTCCATGCAGTGAAGGCCGGGTGGCTCTGGGCTTCGATGTCAACATCATCGGCCCCTTGGGAATCGGCGCGTGGGTTTGCGGACACGGGCGGTGACTCGCAGGAGATGACCGTCGTCCCAGTCAGGACGGTAGCGCAAGGGATCGGCCTGATGCTGGGCAGCAAGCTGTGCGAAGGCTGCAATGAGCCGAGCCGGCGGCATGCCATACACAGAAAGGCCAAGAGTCGCGGTAGGTGTTGGACACAAGCGATGTTGATGGCGACACCGGCGATGATCTCGTTGTCATCGTCATCCCCGCCAGTGCGAGTGGCTTCGTGCTTGAGCGAAAAATCCAAGAGGAATGAGGATCTTACACCAGGTCGCGGAGTTTATGACCAGACAGCCTGCACCTGTTTGACAGACCCCATCGCTCAAAGATGGTATCAACAACCAGGGCCAGATTGCTTGTACATCCGCAGGTAAACTCATGCCTGGCATGCGAATAATTCACTCATTGCCTAAGACTTGCCATGTAGGGTCAACATGGAACTCATTTGGTAGCCCCTTTGCAGATGCACTGCATGCTGATCACAGCAACCGAGCACATTGCGAATGTCCTCCAAGTGCTGCACCTCCGGAAAACTTCCTGCATGGGCATGCTGTCTGTCAGCCAATTATTCAATTCGCACAGGCACCTATTGCGCAGCATGTTGCAGCAGCAAACCTGTGATCGAACGGTTCACGCATAAGTCGCGGACGGTGAAGTGCGTCACCGAACAGGTCCACAGGCACATGGGTGGACGCACCCTGCAAAAAGATGCGGACCTGCAACGACAAGTGCTCGGAATGACTCTGGTTCAGGTCATTGTGCCTTCCCAGCAGAGATCCATGGAACTATGGAACTTGCCATTTCCGACGGCTGGCAAATCAAATCGTCGACTGCTTGCTCGAGGCTTGTGCTCAGGCCGAGTCTATAAAGGTTTCCCATCATGGACCTATGTACACTCAAAAGAAGCTCTGACTGCTCTGCAGGTGCATCATCTCTGGGTGCTCCTTGTCCCCTCTGTAGCAGCGACTTCGAGCTCCAGTTCCGGTTGATCATCCCAGGGCTCAAAAAGGTCACGCCATTCCGGATTCCGCTGTGCTTGCCTTGAATGTCCTGTGAAGTGCCTTGGTGTGCTTCAATCTGCCGCTGCAATTACACGGTCAGCTTCTTCATGTGGTCCAGAACAGTCTCGTATGAACTGGTTATCCTTAGATGGGGGAAGTCAAAACACTCAACCGATGGGGTGGCTTCCGTGGGGGGAACCAGCCCGATGTCAACTTCCTCCAGCGGGACATGAATGAACACAAAACAGCTACACCCGCGTCATGGTCCCGAAAAAGGAAGCTGTGTATTCTAGATTGTGGATAACGACAACCAGCTACAGACCAAATCAAGCGGGCATCGTTTGAAACTTTTTAACTGCCTGGTCTTGCTGCAACCCAGGATTTTTGTCCGGGTGGTGTTGCAAAGCCAGCTTGCGATATGCCTTCCGAACCTGCGCACAGCTACTGCGTAGCCGATGCTATTGAGTGAGAGTGACAATGAAGGTGAGAGCGAGAACACAATGACATGCCCAAGTCAACTTCACGGAGATGCTGCTAGCGATGACTAACAGGCAATGCTGAACTGCAAGCACATGCTGCGCTTGCACCTGTTCATGGCTTGCTGACAGCTCCAGTCCCAGCCTCAGGTCTTGCACAATCGAAATTGCTTAGAAGCGTCGCTGACAAAGCATTTCATGTGCGACTGTGAGCGCAGTATGCTTCGGTAACAAACTTGAGGCCGAGCCACTCGCGGAAGGCTGCAGCGACTTTAGCTGAAGGCGGAGCAGGAGCTGCACCTTGGTTGTGCCCCGGTACTGTGGAACAGGCTAAAAGGGCCTTTACTGTGCCGTATGTTTGTGCACTGAGCATACACCCGATATCTCTGTCCGATGCCTTAGAACCTGCAGCCTCACAGGATGGCAACTTAACACGGCGGGATCTCAACGGATCACATCCGGCGAGGGCAGAATCTCGAATGCACGCTACACCGCCGCACATCCGGGCCCCGTTCGAGGACATAGGTTACATGAGACTCACATGGTGTGTGGGCTTGACATAATTTGGCGACAAGTGGTTCAATGTCGCGATACTCGTAACATGCAAGCCGAAGCACAGACCTAAATCCAAGCACACACACAGAGATGGTACAGCGAGGATTCAGCCACAAAGAGCTTTGCTAGTGTAGAACAACTGAGAAAACCGGCATGACCAAAGAGCGGATGGCATCGCCCCACGTGCATATGTCAGGAATCAACAAAAGCGACACGGCACTTTGTCGCCGCGGTGGTGGCTCGAATCGTGACCAGTCGGGAGGGTCTGGTGCCTCCCAGTCTTCTGGAAGCACGCCCCAATTCCTGAGAGGGACAAAGGTCTAAATCGCCCAAGTTGTCATATTATGTCAAAACACAGCCAGTTCTGGAGCCAAGCATCTTCAAGACCAGCAGCGCAATAAGCTCCTCATCATGAGCCACACGGAAAGCTTTGTCATCTGTGTACGATTGCCAGCCAACAGCTCAGCATATGAGCGCTTGTTGCAGCCTGCCTCAGGATCTCCCATTGCAGAGATGCCATGTTTGAGACACTCCTTGCGGAGCTCTGCCGGCCTCGATCGTACGACCCAAGGGAAACCAGCACAGCCTGTTGCTATTCACCAGCACACTTGCTAGCAAACACTCTTCCGAAGCCGATGCCTTCAGGGCTGCAAGACTCATAATGCTGACGCAAAGGGTGTGCTCACTCTTGCAGCACGAGCATCTGTGTGTGTGAAAGGAAGCGTGTCGTTTAAGTTGCAGCTGAAGGGCCGGAGCTCTTGCCACACAAGATAGTGTTTCAATCGCGAGATCATCGCGGCTTTGTCCAGGGCTTCAGGCGGCAGGCCCAGCAAACGATACCTTGGCCGAGTGCGACTCTGCAATCACAACTTGCATCATTTGTGACGAACTCAACGCTGCAACAGAGACCAGCAAAGGATTTGTCAAGAGCTTTTAAACGTTCTCATGCCGCCGAGCCACGCTGCACTGACATCTGCCTGCTTTGCAGCCTCCAGCCGGCCAAGTTCCTGCCACAGTGATGCGCGGTTGAGCCGCGCCTTCCAAACTAAGGAAGGATCTCAGCTGCTTTTTGTGTCTTTGCGCTGACTTGGTATAGCTTTAATGCACCAATCTCAGGAAGTCCTCGACTATCACAATGGCAGCTTCCAGGCTGGTTAGCCGGTAGACCGGGATGCCTGGAGATCATGATGGACATCATGCATCAGGCTGCTGGGCTGCCTGCTTGTGGCTGGCTCTCGATGGCGAGCCGATCAGCATTTCGCAATATGGCAAAGCAATGCGATGGCATGCACTTAGATTGGCTCGAGCCTTGCTTTTCCCATCCATCCACACCAAGGCTGAGAATAAGTCGGTCCATCAGCACCTGACGCAGAAAATCGTGCCACACCCAGCATACGTCTTGGACATGCTTGCTACATGTCCCTGACTTACGTACTTCGGATCATCATAGCAAATGTGTCGTGGTTTTCAAGAACTGCGGCGCAAGGTATCTCCGATACTGCAGAATTCCTGGAACAGCACGACCAGCACTACACTTTCCCCGCAATTGAGAAAGGAACATCGCAATCCAACTCTCCAGACTAACGCGCCCTCCAGCTCAGGAGCTTGGATCTTGTCTGCTTCGCTGGGCCGGTTGGGAAAGCCACCAGAGCTGAGCTCCCTCGCCTCGCACTCCTGTACCAGCTCATCAACCTGAAGAAGTCATAAACATCCCAGCTCTTGCCGGGCCGGGTGAAAGCCAAAAAAAGGTTGCGGTCAAAGCCTGGCATCATGCTAGACAAGACCTGCGCCATCAACTGTCCTTTTCGTTGCATTCAAGGCTCCGAAAGCTGCGACCAAATAAGCACCTGTTCTGAGAACGTCATACACGTTGAGGCAGTTGGCCTAGTATGGTTCTACTGAAGCTCGCGTTTGGAATATGTCCGTAGGCCGTCATAGCGCCGAATCACGCGTCTGCAGTTGCAGCTCAAGCACTTGCTTCAATCGCCGCAGAAGCTCCTTGTCGTCGAGGTTGGGCTCAGTGGGCATCCCAAGAGTCGCATACTCTGCCTCTCGTGGGCTTCAGTGACTTTTGCACAGAAGAGGGCTAACGCTAGTGCACTTAACCTCCTTGGCATGTTTTTGATTGAACATGTTCCTTCCATCATGCGGGGGTCGCGGTTTTCTGCCAGCTGCAGCTAGCACATGTACTTCGCAGAATGGTTCAGTGCAGCCTTTATCCCACAAGGCTCACTAGCATTCTCGACACAAAAGGTCAGACTCTACACAACAGATGCAGCCAGGAACGGAGGGCCCTGCCTGTAGTAGAGACGACGGCATCGATTCATAGCGCTCAACCTCTGTGAAGATGCCCAAGGCCTGTTTGACATCTTGCGTCGACTTCACCCTGACTTGCCAGATTGCGAACTCAGGCGAACCCTATACTGCAGCGGTACGCTGCTCGACAAGCTGAAAGTTGCTCCACAACTTATTTCCTGCATCCAAGGTACAACTTCATGCCCAACGGTGTTGACAGGAATGCCCTTCCTGGGAAAGTTCTGCCGCTGTCGGAGGGAAGTGTGAGAGAACAATTCTTAACAGTATCCAAGAATCAGCTCAAGCATCTCGGTTAAGAGCCAGGAATGCAAAGCATCAACCATTTCCTTCTTCTCAGCTCGCTCTGCATGCCTTAGCCAGGCGCATATCACTCTGCCACGATGTGGAAATCCAGTGGCCGGAGACTCAGAAGCAGCGTCTTTCAACGCAGTCCAAAGGGCATCTTCAACATGTGAGACGCATTCGAAGCCACCTGACTGGACACAGCCTCTGACGTCTTTTGTTACAACAGCCGCTATAGCCGCTGTTGCAGCCTGCACAGTCTGAAACTTCAATCCTTTGGCTTGGCATTCCTCTCTCAGGCCATCGGTTGTCATTTGCGACCAGACCTTGGAGGCAAGCTTTGCTTGCAGGCTCCGAGTTGTCCCGCGCCACTTGCTTGCGCAATCTTATGTGACCGAGTTGCCAAGTGGTTGCGCAATCGATTTACCAAGTCCTGTTTGCGTGGATAGGACTCCGCTGGCAAGTTCCGCTTTCGGCATTCGTGGCGCAACTGCGGCAGCTCCTCTTCATGGGGAGAGATGCCAATCAAAGCTGTGCATGACGTGTATACGAAGCCGAGAGTGACAAAGGTACACAACCCAAATATGCAATTCGAAATCTTGACTCACTACTTGCTGCTGTCGGCCAGCAGCGAAGTTCTGCAGCCTCTAGCACAAATATGTGTCGACGCGCGGTCGCTCCTTCTTCTGGAATCGCTGAACTTGATCCAACAATCCCTGCGCCACGAGAGTACTCGGCATCCTTGTCGGCAGTTCAGGGGGGAGTAGGTGAGCAACACGCCGAAGGAGGCGCTGGCTCGATGAAAGCAACGTAGATCTGCCAAGACTCTTGAGGACAGGAATCTGAAAGCGCTGCCAGCTGTCCTGGAAAGCCACGCTTGTGGTGAGTGCATGCGCTGCATCATTCCAATCACAAGTACCAACATTGCCCGTCTATCCTCCCAAGTAGTTTTCCAAGCCAAGTTTCGTCCAGTTACTCCAGCTAGTGAGTGTGGAAAAACTATGCTACTGACAAATGAGGCTTTTCAGGAGGAGTTTCACTTCGGTACGAAACATGGTGCACCAGCTGCTTACAAACGTGGCATCCTTGGGCACAACAGCAAATCAGGAAAATACCCGATGGCTGGCCCATGGACTGCAATAGACTCCAAGCAACCACTACCCACATTGCAAGCAAAGGTGCAGCTGTAACCAAGCCAATCAGCTCTGTGCGCCGATGCTCGCCCCTTTCAGACTTCGGAATTTGTAGCTAGGTGTGGTAGTAATTCCATTTTCAATTATTGCATGTGTATCCATGCAAGCAAGGGCGAGAGGGGGGGGGGGCAGGACCCGACACATGCAAGATTAGAGATCCCTCGCAAACATGACGGTTGTACTCGCAAGCTCTACGCTTCTGATTCGATCTAGCTTTTCTATCCAGCATCAGCCTGATGGCCAAGTTCTTCTCTTTGCAGATCTGTCGAAGGTGCGACAGCGACATCTCCTGAAAAAGCCTGAGCATCTGAGAGCTGCAGTGGCTCACAACTGCAACCACCACAGGCAAATTCAAGCTATCCCCTACTGATGACTCTGAAGTGAACAGTCAGTCTTGCAGCTAAGGATCACATACTCCTTCAAGGCACACAGCACCTCATCCTCAGCTTTTGAGCACAACGCACCCAAGACTCGAGCAAGCCTTCTCGGCAGGCCTGGCTCAAGTCCGCAATGTGGGCAAAGCCTTTGCCCTTGTACTGTCTGATGAGGTCTGCTTCTTTCATGTTCTCCAACTTCTCGAACTCTTGCAGTACGTGCTCAGCCCTTTCGCGATTCTCCAGCCTAAGCTGTCTCTGTGAACGATTTTAAACCGGTGCTGGACATGCAGGCTGCTCTTTGCTCTTGCCCGGAGTTGTGATTTGTTCTCAGCAGCTTCTGGTCGGGGATACCCTTCTCGGCACAGCGTTTCCTCGTTCTCTGAAGCCGCGTGAGCCCGCCCCACGTCGCAACTTGAAGTGCCTTGCTGTCCACTGTTCGTCCACTCTGAACTTAAGCTGATGGAATCAACCAGTTTAGCATGCTCGCACCTTGCCTCCACCAGCTCTTGCCGCGAAAGCGGCCCCTGGTCCGCAGTCACCAGATGCCCAGCCACACGTCGGCAGGCATCTTGAAGCGCCTGGCTCGCAGACTTAAGAGAGAACACAACAAACAGCGCAGGCCCTAAGAGTGTGTGCAACAACCTCTGATTCGGCTATCAGGGAGCAGCCTCCATGGGCAGCAACCGCCAAAGTCGCAGCTGCTTAAGTCGCGCTTCCAACTCATCCCGCGGCACCGTGCCTTCAAATATGCAGACACGGCAGACACAGTTGTTAAGCACGCAAGGCCCTGTGCATACTTTCTTTTCGTCTTGACCTGTTCAGGTCGAGGGGTGATGCGTTCAGCATCAGGCATCGCCCTACATGCCCAGGAGATACTGTTCGAGTGTTTGCGTTCCCGCGATGATCCCTCGTCGAAGTACTACGCACCGGCAAAGCTTTCGCTCCTTGCTGGGTCTTTCCAAGTGCCTAATTCCGACCCAAGCAGGCAGGTTCGAAGGGCACGGGACCTGTGCAATCGCCTGAATGTTGACTTCCAGAATGCAAATCCACCCCCCTCCGTGAATACCGAGGCTCAAATTTAAAGGGCCGAAGCATTGAACATGTTGCACCGCACCGGAGCACCGATGACGCATACGCTACGGAGGAGCAAGGAAGGCGAGAGGGTGAGCCCTTACTCACTCACTCACTCACTCACTCAACTGACTCACTCACTCACCCACCCACTCACTCACTTCTTTTCGTTTTGGCCATGGAATACAGTTGCAGCGACTCTCACGGCTCAGGTCATAATGCAGCCTTGGATGCTCTCGGTCTCCGTTTCCATGCCCTGGGCCTCCCACTCCAAAGTCAGCTCTGCTGCAGTCAGCGTCTGCCTCGTGTCAAACTGCTTCGCTTCGCTGAACATGCATGGTATCGCATACAAAACACTCCCGGTCCCTCCTTCCTCCTCCCCAAACTGCAGCCTCGGAGCCATCGATCTATCTCCTTCAGGAGCTCACTTGAAGCTACCAGCCCCAGAACATCGAGCGGAACGCCATGCTCCTCGCCTCGGCAGCTTCGAACATAGCTCATGTGGTCTCGTGTGGACAGCATGGTTCAGTGGGCTGCAGTGCTGCCATGACCTTGCCACAAACTGACGAATTGCGAGTGGCAGCGCTTCTGCAGAGCACCGGACAGTGCCCCGCGCCCTCGAGGTCGCCCTGCCGGGTGTCGGTCACGTGGCACCGGGAATGACTGCCAGTCTTCATATCAGTTCCCACCGTCCTTTCGGTCGTTGAGTTGGCACAGAGCTCTCTGCCGTTGTGCCAGGTTCTTGTGGCAGGTCCTGCTTTACCGAGCAGCAGGAAGCCATCACCCTGATGCTGCAATTTGGCCTGCTCTTCACACGGCGACGACCGGACGCCAAGCTCGACTGCAGCAGGATCGTTTCGTTCTTGGGCTGCCCTGCCTAGCAGAAGCTTAAAAGGAGGTTCTGCGCTCTTCTCTACATTAACAGGCGAAACCTGGAGACTGTTTCACGCCTGGCAACTTCTGTAAGAAGGACAACGCAAGATTGATTGATTCCCTTAGGAAGTTCACCTTCAAGCAAGAGCTATTCAGGTGGCACAAGAGAAAGGACCTCCGATCATCTGCCGCGAGTGGGCAAACATTCATTGGATGGACCACGGTACCCACTGGGTATGTTGCAATCTAATCGGGATAGACCCATGCCGTCTCTTCATCGGTGAAAGGCGTGGCTTGATGTTCCTGTATGAGCTGCGAGAAGTAGGCAACTGCATCATCAACGACCTGAAGATCGTGTGCGCCTGGAGGTTTCTCAAAGACAGTTAACAGTTCGCAGCTTTTGTAAGTTTTGCATTGCCTCAACCACCTTTGTGCTACCTCGACAGGTGTGTCGAAGTGTTGTGAGGCTTGTACTTGATGTCTGATCCAGGCATGACCGTGCATGGAGAGCCAGAATTGCAACTGCTATCCGCCGAGGCCACAGGCCTCCGGCGTCTTGATGGTTAAGCTAAGTAGCCCACTCCCTCCCTGCATCCCAAAAATTTACTGACATGCGTTTTTTGGGCACATTTTCGACCCCCTGCCCCGGCTGGCCCCTCCTTGACCTGTCCTTTCCCTTCGTTCCAGTCCGTTTTGGCTCCTTGATCCCTTCGTTCTGACCTGCCCTCGCCGCTGTTTGGGAGGGGCTGCTGCACTGTCGAGCCGAGGCGGGCTGCGTAGCGTTAGAATAATCATACTACTATCGGCATTAGCAGCTTTGTCGTGTAACTAAGACATACCCTTGTCGGAAGCGAGAACCTGCAAATTGCAACCATAAACGGCTTGCACGATGCTATGCAAAAAAAACTGTTAAGAACCATTGAACTCCATGAAAACCAATGGAAATCCATCAGCAGGCCATCAAAGGATTATACAAATCTGATGGAATCGGTCAGGTTCTTCAGAGCATGTCGGGTCTGAAAAGGCTTGGGGAAGCCTGTAAACAAAAAAATGGCAGAAAGAAACACATACACAATACAGAATCCCATGCAGACACAGGACCATATGATAATGTTCCGAAATCCATGCAATAAGCAAATCAAACCAAACAACAGCAACAAACTTGAACAGAAAAATGACAAACAATCCTCGCTCCCTCGAGAGGTTCTTTACCCCCGCACATTACCGAGACAGTATCCAGGTCTGCCTTTGGCCAATAGCTGTGCCAATTCCGAATGGCCAGCTGCGATGGCAACATCGCTTGCTTGCTGCCCGTTCGAATTGCCTCGGCTTGCAGGGCTGAGAAGGTGCTCGGCGGCGAAGCTTCCATGCAAAATTCCAATATTCTTGGCAGAACAGCAGCTCCAACAGAAGTTCTTCTGCAATGTACGGTCTGTGGCACTCCAGGCAATGGGAACCAAGCCTCTATCTCTGCTTCCGTCTTGTGTACTTTTAGAAAAAGACTCTGAACTCACTGTTCAGTGTCGAAGCCAACTACGGGCAAAGCGTCCTCGACATCAATACAGGACTTCTCTGTGGACACGAACCATACTTTATGCAGTCTTGCTTCATTGGCTGATATCCGCTTGGGCCTGCAGCAGCAAGAGGCACAAGCTCCTGAAGTTGATTGCTCTGGAAAGCAACCGGGTGCAACTCGCATGCATGCATCTTCTCGTCACGAATGTGCAAAACCTGCACTGGCTTGTAAAGCGGATCCTGACTTTATGGAGCAAGTCCTGTCACCCAAACATGCAGCTTCCATCAAAGGCGACTCGCCCGTGATGGAGTCACTGCAGTTCGGGTCCGCTCTTGCCCGCAGCAAAAGGGTGCACAAAGCCCGCGTGGAATTCAGATCCCCAGAGGCTCTCAGCAGTGACCTTAGCAACGGCTGCACATGACTTTGCTGGAAGTCTTCGCTGATGTGACTGCACTCTGTCACTCTTACTGTCCCGTCACCAGCTTTCCAAGCTTGGAGTGCAGGTGAGATGATAGACAAATCTCGACCCGAGATGCCGCAGTACCAGGGGTTTCATCTCCCCAGCGACTCTTCAAAGGAAGCCGACTTCATGGAACGAGTTCAAAATTGTCGGGGGTTTCGACACACCACTGCTGTGAAACATGATTGTTCCGACAATGTCCAAAGAATTTTTTGCCTCGCCAACCATATTGTATGCGGGATTTTCGATCATGATGTCTTACGGACAGATTCACGACGGATGAAGCTCTCACCGATACCTGGCCAGGTCAGTTCCGCATTTCTTATGTTGGCGAGTCATCCTCTCGATGAAGGCAAATGCAATGCGTGCTTTTGTTCCAGTGCTTGCTGCTACCGGGTGCGTCTCCGGAGCCCCGAGGAGGCAGCCGAGCAAGAAGTGCAATGAAAAAACACTCGGCTTACAGGCGGACAGTGGCTGCGGGTCTGGCACACCAACCCGCTTTCCACGGCATTGTAGCTGAAACTAGATACTGCATCCTCACGAGGCATCTGTTGACAATTTCGACAAGAATCGTTCTTTTGGCACGTGTGCGTGCACTGAGCACTATGTGCAGCTGCTCGTATGTCGACGAAAAATTCATTCAGCCAAGTACAATTGGTCCCGGCGCAAAAAGGAAGCTCTGTTCTGGCGGGTGGCAGAAGCGGCGTCTCTCCCAAAGCATTGGAGACATTAACGTCTGCCCTGGCACTCAGCATGCGCCGCACGGGGTCCTGCATGCTTTCCAGCTCAGTCTCAAATAGTAGTGGCGTGGTTCACTCACTTCAATTTTTCAATTGGCTGGCTTCCCATAGCAATAGCAGCTTAAAGAGCTACTCTTGGCAACACACGCGCCATATCTGCCAATTTGCCGTCGCTGTCTGCGATCCACCCTGCGCTGCAGCTGCCAGCAGTCGATGCAGTGCAGTGTTTCCTAAGATGACGCGGAGCCAGGAGGCAAACAGTAGGAAGCGCCCAAAGTCCCGTCAGATAACACCCATGTGCCGCGGTCGCTCGATTCAGGCATGCCGCCATCTTTGTCCACATCTTCTGCTTCCCGCCCTGCGTGCATGTAGACTTCGTGTCACACGTATGCTGGACCCGCCTCTGCTTAATCGAACAAGTTCACACTAGTCCAGCGAGCGCAAACTTGTCCAAGTGACTGGCAGCTCGGCCGACTGCGCCATTTACTTCCATGGCCTTCAAGCTTGACAAAGCACGGTGCTCAGCATACAAAGCACACTCATTGTATTGCTATCTGCTTACATACGTCATGCTTTACTTGCTTGCTTACTTCCAATACTTGCTTTCTGGGTTCGGTTCCACCTACATCTATGCCGGGTGAGCGACTGCCTGCTTCACATCTCCTCCGAAAGCATATGGGATCGCTCAGCTCGTAACTAAAAGCTGTGCCGACACAAAGCAAGAAAGAAAGCTTTTCCGGATCACAGGGCATGGGCAGTTTGCTGGGCTTCCACAGTGATGCTGCTTCCTCCAGGACATAACAGGGTGGGTCATCCCCTCCCCATCCGTCGCGCCCAGTGTTTGGTGTACGGGGACATAGGGGAGTCAAATAAACCTTGCTTTCTCTCGATTCCTGTGCGCAGCGCGGGCCTCGAAGTCGAACATGTCACACGACCATGTGGTCGCTCCTGCAGGACAAAATGCTACATTGCATTGGCAAGATGTCGAGATTTGTCTTGAGTCGCGATTTGGCTGCAACCAGACACTCTCCTGAATGAATAAAACTGATGGCGACTTAGTCCTGGATTTGAAAGGTTGCGATTGAGCTCAAGCTGATGCCAGTCAATCAGGTCAATGAAACAGCCGCTCGCAAATGGCAAAGCAGAAACAACAACACACCTAACGCAAGACCCAGCAATGCAGGTACTATACAGACCAGAGTTGACTCCTGCATGAGCTGCTGGGCGACTGGCTATCAACGGTTCAGCAAGCGGCACCAGCGCATGACGCTTTCCAGATGTCAAAAACGCTGCGGATAATTAATTGCCTGCAGCAAATGCTACACTGACTAGCATGCGGTCGCATTGTCCATCTGTTGGCGATCCTGCAGCGTTGACCGTTCGCACGCCTCGTGGGCTAGAGATGTGTGCTGGAGAGGATAGGAACGATAAACACTCTGCGAGCCGAAAGAAAGTGATAGCAAGTGCATCTATGCACCACGGAATTTTGTGGCAAATGCTCAGCAAATGCTTCCTCCCTGCACGTGGCATGTAAATAGCTGTGAAAGCGTTTTCTCTTGTTTGCAAGCTCCTAGGAGTAGGCTGTTGCAGCATGCTAGACACAAGACCCACATCCTGCGTGATGGGACGCGCTCTAGGCAAGTGAAGCAGCAAGTGTTTCGATATCGTGGCCACGAAGCGCACACAGGCAGGGCCTCGCGAATTTCTTGGTCACTGAGCCCAAGAGCCATGGAAGTCACGGCCCGCTCGAACCTGAAACGCAGAGCGGAAGCGGTTCACGTGCCCTCGACCCCTCTTTCCGAATGCTAGGTGACCAGCTCAGCTTCCTTTAGCTGCCCATCGCCTTTCCTATCGAAGCTGGCGAATACCTGGATTTGCAAGCTGCGGACATTTGTGCCGCTACGCTCCTGCCTGGGCCATGCTGAATAATCATGCTACGAGCCTGAAGCCAGTTCTGTCGACGCGCCGACAGGCCCTGGGAAACAAATTGTTGCTCGCGCTAGCATCTTCGCAAAGACCGAGAAATCCAGCTTCAGTGCATCTTCCAGACTGCATCTCCTCAGCTACCTGCCCTGCGCACGCGGCTGAGCAGTACCCGCACCTCGGCAGCCCGGCATCGCGACATTGAAGTCATGATTTGTGCCTGTTGAAATTTTTGCTCCTGGGCACGACATACTCTCGACCGACACAAACACACACACACACAAAGAACCACAACGGAAGGAACAAAAGTGTGAGAGAGCGAGAGAGAGAGATGGCGAGGGAGCTATAGTCTAGAGGGAGGGAAAGTGAAAGAGAGGGAGCCAGACCGGAGCCAGCACAAGCGAGTGAGCCATGGGAGGGTGGACAGGGAAAGACGGACAGCAAGAGCATAAGAAGTATTCTCTGGATCCCTTGCCAAGGGTGCCCTGGCCCTAGCACAATCCAATATGGACCATATGAAGCTTGAGCCGATCGCCCTCAGCTCGCCCTCCGGCAGCGTATGCTGGGGTGCCTCGTGCGGATTGGCATAGAGCCGACAAAGTGTCACCCATGCATGTGCCTTGAGAGCTGAGGCGCATAAAAGCACAAAGCCCTCACTTGCCTTGCACCGCAGCTACCTGAGTCTCTGGCTGGTGTCGAAACGAAAGGCGGCGCCTTATCAGCAGATTCCCAGAACCGGTCTTCAGAGAACCTCCTCCTCCAGTGTTTTGTAACTTGTGGGGACTGGCTTACGACTGGCAATCGGACGAGTCCGGGCACCCCTGAAGTGCACCATGTCATTGTGTCAGAATACTGAAAGTAGGTGAAATAACTAAGCATGAGGCGTGCCATTCTCGCCGAACGGGCTGATCCTGGAATGGCGATGTATGTGCACGAAGGAGTCAGGTTGCATCCAGCTAGGCCTCAATAATGGGCTGCACAGGTTCTGGCTCAACCTCAGGTAAGATGCAGTTTCACGGCACGACGCCTTATCGGCCTGACACTTTGTGAGAAGGCCTTGCACGTCCCTTGCTCACGTTACACTGGCGGCAAAAGCGGAAAAGCACATGAAAGCACCTTGAAGCTGGAGCTCAGGCTCTCTTTAAGTTCTCGATGGTAGACTTGACCGGTGGCGGAGCTGCCTTTGGCCTCGACGCTCCGCCAAGAGCTGCTGAAGTGTAAACTACTGCACAAGAACAGATGGTCTACATGCCTTTCAAACCAGCACTCGTCCCTGTCCCGACTGAGGACTTTTGCGGATGTGCCGGGATGACGAAAGTCAAAGTTCCAGGCTCTGTCGTCTCCTTGGAGCCCTTCCCTGGCCATTAAAATGCTCGTGTGACCACTGCTGGCACTCACAGCACTTTGCAGAAGCAATTTCGATCGCCACGCCTGTGCGGGCTTCTTTCGCATCCTTGTCGGCTTGCCCGGGTGCATCGAATCGCCGAACATAGGCCTCATTGTGCTCAAGTTCCGGTGCACTGGTACGACCTGAACTGGCAGGATGTCCCTGTCTCGGCAGCTGAGTTTCCAACCCTTGCAATCAACTCTTGGCCACTCGGCCTCTTGCTTGAGGACTTCTCGAGTATGTCATCCTGAAGAGATCGGAGACTCATGTGCGGATGACACAGCCACACTCACCGGGGATTGTTTGCAGCTGTCAGGCCCTGACCAGAAGAGTTCGCAAGTCTGCGCTGTACTGAGGAGGGATGGGTTCATACCTCAGTACGGCCGACAGCTTCTGATGAGGCCCTGTTGAATTTCATAGACTTTCTACTGGTCCGTGATGCTATTGAGTGCCGCTCGTCTCGCTGACGATTTTGTACACGAGGCCAAGCCTACAGTGCAAGTGGAGGTGCAGTATGGTACAGCATTAGAAACAGCGAGTGGAAGAGCGGCTTCAGGAAGCAAAAGACTTTCCGCAAGCCATGGCATCTGTCGATGTAAGCCGTGGCTGGCATTCTCACACCGGCTCGTTCCGGAGAGTCCAGCCAAAACAGCTGCGCATTCTGCTGCGTTGCCTGTTTGGTCAAATCTTTCCTGAAGCCAGCAACCGTGTCGGCGACTGTGAAGATGTTGCAGATGGAGGCGCTTTACAGGGAAACCATGATCTCACCTGCCCGTTGGCATCAGCCGCCTTCAGGGAACCGATGCAACACATGCTCGGTCAGGTCGAAGCAAGGCGCCTCCAGCAAAACTTCAAGTTGGAGTATCCCAGAGAATTGTGGACGAGCACCGCGTGTTCGGACTCATCAACTTCTCATGTGCTCGTGCAAACACGTTAAGAAACTGCAAAGCTCAGGCCTTGTAGTTGAGCATGATGTGACTGTCCGGGCAACATCCGACGTCCCCATCAATCATGCCAGCAGCAAGCCATGTGGTACCGAGCTGTCCGTGGTAATTCAAAGCAATTGTGGAACCTGTGCTTAGAGTAGCTCGTCAAAGTCGGAACCGTTCTGCTGGCAGCACTATCTGCTGGTGCCGACAAGCCACCACATTTCGGACAAAACCTGACAACTGGATTAGGTAAACAGGCGAGTGCACAGGGGCCTGCAGTGGCCGTTTCTTGTTTCAGCGTGATTGTAGAAAACAGTCCAGGAAGAGCTGCCATGAAACACCAAGTAGCGTGCGGTTGGCAAAGTCAGAGCTGTTGAACCTGGACCGACTGTGACTGATCATCAACTCGAGACTCAGCTGCCATGGCGGAGATTGCATGGTCACCTTGGCAAACTTGCTTTCTAAGGCGGCAGCCTTCGCAATGCTCTGCGGCCTCAAGAAGGCAGGCAAGTTACGAAACAACGCAATGATGCATGCGTACATACCTGGTTCCCTATACCCATGCCGCCTATACCACAGACACATGTAACACAAATACCACCACACACAAACTGTGACACAAACATGCATGCCTGCACGCCTGCATGCCTGCATGCCTTTGTGCCTGCATGCATACATACATACATACATACATACACACATACATACACATATACATACACATATACATACACATATACATACACACACATATATACACATACACATACACATACATAAATATACATACACATACATACACATACATACACATACATGCACATACATGCACATACATACACATACATACACATACACACACATGCATACATACATACATACATACATACATACATACATACATACATGACATACATACATACATAAATAGATACGTAGATACATAGGTAGGTACACAGATACATACGTAGCTATAGCATGCACCTCAGTAGTTCCCTCGTGCCCGCACCCACGTAAACAGGTGCCCTTGTACCCAAATACCGTACCTGCGCACCGGACCTACGCAGCTGCGTCCCTCCGTCCCTCCCTCCTACCTTCCTGCTTACCTACAGCATCCAACATCCAGACAAACATGCATGCATGCATGCATACATACGTGCACACACGCACACACACACAAACACACACACACACATATATATATATATACATACATACAGCTATGTACACATACAGTCACATACACATACATACACTCTTTCTTCTCGCTTGCTTGCTTGCTTGCTTGCCACGTCCCCGAGGGTAAATCAAACGGCCTTGGTTTTCATTTTAACACTCTCATGCCACGCATTGTTCGCTCTTCGAACTCCTGGTTTGTTGCTCCTCGGTCCTCTCTAGCGGCTGCAGCTGAAGGGATTCTTTCTTTTGCTAGTGCGGCGCTACCCCATGCTTCCTCCCAGTTGTCTGTCGTCAAAGGCCTCCCTCCTCATTCATCTTGAGGTGACCGGCGCTGCGCTCCCCCTCTGCATCGTCTGGGTCCTCTGGTCGGGTTGAAGTTGTAGGGCCTGGGGGTTTTCCCCCGAGCGCCCCTCTTCCGTGGTCTGCTGAGGGAGGTTCACCTCGTTCCTCTTGGCCTTGGTGCTCTGGTTGCTGCTCTTCTTACAACCGGTGGACCAACGGCGGCACCGGGACGTGCCGCCGGCATGCGAGTCGAAATCAAACCATGACGGAGATCCGTGCGACCTGTGCCTGACTTCCTGCGACAAAACTGCTGCGGAATCGAGGAGGCTGATCCGTTTCGCCCCCACCGTTTAGAGGACACTTGCTTGCACTGGGCTTGAGTAAGCGCGTGCGCTGTAGTGCATACTCTCGTGCGGCGTCCGTTGTGTGCTATGCAAAGCTGGTCGGCGTGAGCAGCAGCCGTGACAGGTTTCATGTTCCGTGCCAAGTGGCTTCTCTTTCTCTGTCTTTTCTGTGTTGCCTTGCTTCCAGAAGGTTCAATCACAAGTTCAAGAATACAAAGAACGATGCATGTTGCCTTGCCTTGAAGCACTTCCACTGCCGAATCCGGGTATGCGGCCCAAGTCATGAAGGCACCACCACCCTGGTGTCAAATTGGACGAGGTCGAACAGAAGAGATGCTCTCACCTTGCCTGTCGCCGGCACATGCTGCAGTGACAGTGCATGAGCCGGATGGGAGGCTCATGCAATCTGACAGGTGCTCAGATCTTGCATTTGCATGTCTGATCACTCTGATCGACTTAACACATGAATTTGCACGAAGCGAATCATCAAGTCGACAAGGTTGCATTCTACAGAAAGCACTACTCGGCGATGCCTCAGTCTCACCGCGCCGCAGAGGCAGCCAGCACCTCACATTGCATGTTAAGTCTCAATTTGGTCTTGCCCCACCTTCTCCGTGTTTCCGTACGTCGGCACTTTTGTGCAATAAAACCTATCTTTACCACCTGCCTTGGGGCTCTTGCAGCTGATAGGTGCCAGTGGTCTCCAAATGCAGGCGGCGATAAAGGCCGCAAGGTGTTCGGCAACTGACAGCCGCATCTCCGATAGGGAAGGTGACCCCTGCGGGCACATGGCAGCGATGTCTAGAACAGCTTTACATCGGATCAGTCTGCTGAGCTGGCACGAGCTGCTTGCTTTTGGTTGAATCGCTACGAACCAAAACAAGACAACGCTACCAATTGTAAAACCTGACGGTTTGGGACACTTGCACAAACTCCAAATTCGCTACTTCGAGTCCTCATTCGTCGTCAGCACCACCGCATCTGTTTTGAGAATGGCCAAAACAAAATGATCTCTACAGTACCGTGTGCTGAGAGTGATGACTGCTACTCTCGTGGGAACTCTTCGCATTTGCCGTGCCAACAGGTATGGGCATAGGAACCCTGGCTTTCATTGCACCTGCCAGCTTTGTAGCCTCGTTGCCGCACGTTAAAGCTCGGCAGGACTGAGGGGCGAACCCGCCGTTCGGAGATGCTCAACTCTTGGTTGGACGCACGGTGGCTCTTCGTTTCTTAAGGGTAAGAGGTGGAGGAGCGACTTCCACCCCCACGCTCCGGGCGCCCGCCCCCCCCTCCCCCCCCCTTTCTCTTTTCTTTCGCCAGGGCTGTGGGCAGAGGTTGCCCCCATTTCTCTCTCTCTCTCTCTGTCTCTCTGCGCGCTCGTGATCAAGCATGCTTGTATCATCTTTTCGCGCACATGCTGAACATGTGGCGACTCCCACTGAACAGTTGCAATCGCTGACTGCTGCAACTGCACATTACAGCCTGCACAAACACCACAAGATCGATCCAACTCAGATGAGAGACAGCATACAACTCGTGCAGTCTGCAGATTTGTTTACGCTGGCCTCGCTGAAAAATGCAAGCGCCGCCCCAGGCCCATGCTAAGCGCGATGCTGTCTTACCCATTAGGTTGCGAATAAAATTGTAGAATTCTAGTTGGTGCTTGACTTTGTCTCTGCTCTGTGATTGACAATTGATCAGTGTCTTCGCTTCGCTTTGGCTAGACATGTGCAGCTGCGGCCGTTTCCATCACCAACACTAATCAGGCATCACCATTATAATGCCGCGCACACACAGGCACATAATTCGGCTTCCAAAGCATGATCCAATCAAGAATGTACAGAGTTGCTAGGGCCGCTGCAGCGACTGGCTTTCGAAGGCGTGCTTCAACATACACCTTTTTCACAAGGGACTCGACTGCTGCCCTTATTGCCCAGCTCGGCCCCCACCGCAGCACTCACGACTGTAACGCGAACATGCGCGACTTAGGGCTGCCACATTTCGTAAAGCACGCAGCCCAGGGCCCATATGTCGCTCCTTGTCAAACGGCTTAGAGCTGAGGTGGCGCAGGCGGCTGCGCACATACTGAAACACCAAGAACTCATGCTGAGGAAGCGACTTGTAACCATACGGCTCAGCCTTGCAGACCTGCGAAGGTTTCAAGGATGAGACATTGCAACTTCGGGTCTGCAGGGACGTCTTGCGCACAGCGTTCAGATAGACAGGGATGTGCTTAGAACACGAGCCACATTTTTGGCCAGGTTCTGGAACAGGCATCAGGGCAGCGTGCCACTCAGACTTGCCAAGCTGCTGTGTCTGCAGCCAACACATGTGTTGAGGGTGGATCAATCTGTTTCATCCCTCTGTGCCAAGCCTCGGGAGACATGTAGTATGGTGTCCCGACGACCTCAGCAAAGACAAGGATGACTCAGGATGACGCTTCCATAAAATCATCGTTGCAGCACGACAGTGCGATCCAGAAGCTGTTGCCGCAACGTCGACTGTGCCCTCCAGGACGCGGGAGATGCCGAAATCCCCAATCCGGACCTCACCATCAACAGAACAGGCACCTTCTCTTTTGACGATTTGAGTCCCTCCACATATCTGCAGTCTTCCACACTTGCTCGGATCTATCGAAACGTGAGGTAATGCGATATGCCCGTTCGGCAAGACATGGTAGGATCAAAGCATCATAGTCGCCGTTGCCAGACGGTGCGGTTGTCAGGAAAACGTTGGAACCTCACAGTTAATTGCACAGTGGAATGCCCATTTCCGAACTTCACTAACACTAGCTTTGTTTGAACAGAGTCGTTAAGGTTCTGGCTTTTGAGATCTCTGTGAAGGATGTGACGCTGATGCCTGGCGGATGCGCCATGGAATTGTCACAGGTAGCTCCAGATGCACTGCATGCGAAACCGCTTGCTCCATAGTAAAGCAGCTGCTCAGCTGCTGTGCAACTCTGCCCTGCTCTTTCAGAGCGCCTTATATGCGGAAGCTCAGAGCGGGATACTCGGTGGCGCTTGACGAACGCAGGCCACGCTTTGAGCGGTTGAATGCGTTCACCAAACCTGTGAAGCACGCCACGTCCAGCGTCTGTCCTGTAGCACTGGCAGCACACTGACGGACCCTTACGTGGACGTAAACCCCACCCGAAATTAGAGAACACCCCCCTGAGAAAACTTCATTGCCAGTCCTGAACGTTTGGCGAATCGCAATGCCATCCACCAGGGGTACACCACCCCTGGAAACAGAAACAGCAGGAAGGGTACCGTGTGTATGACCCGTCCACCTGAAGCGAAATGTACCAGGAGTCGGCTTGTTCCAAGGAGCCAAAGCAAAGAGATCCAGGAAAGAAGCACATTGGAGACCAAGCTCTGCAGGGCTCGGCATTCGTGGTCTCGACAACTCGCCAGAGTATCAACTGCTGTGAACAGTGCATTCAGTACCGCGGCTGCAAACGTCACTATGAACTCCAGGACGCCTTGCACCATGTCGCAATCCTTACGCTTGAAGTATTCCCAGTGGCCAACCAAAACAAGTGTGGAACCCTGTCTAATTTCTACTACTACATACAGGATTAGACACAACTTGTTCCAAAATTGGCAAGGGTCCAGTCCATGTCCAAGGCCCCAATATTCAACCACAGGGGATCCCAGGCGCAGCGCATCTTCCAGGTGAAATGTCAGCAGAAGCATGAGCACGATGCTTGCCAAACCACGGCAAGCTTCTGACAGGTTCAGCTGTGGCACGAGCTCATTTACCATGTGTCCTTGCAGTTCCTCATATGCTGCGGGTCCTAGCAAGAGCTGTGCCCACAAGCGGTCTGCTGAGGTAAACAGGGACAAACCCATTGTTGCTGCCAAGAAATTTACGGATGCCGGAGGTTCGCCGGCTGTCACAGCCACAATTGTGGTGACCACCATCCAAACCAGCACCTCTCTTCTTGCTTTTAAGCTAAGGGAGAGGTGGAAAACAGCGGCACAGACACCCAAAGATAACTCATCTGTCGTATCGAAGAGCTTGCTCAGCATGTGCTCTTCGGCAGCAGCTGTACGCATGCTTCTCACCATGGGGGCCCATGCCAACAAAGCGACGACTGTCAGGAGAATCTTACTGCCCAGTCTCCAAGCTGCGACGCCGTAAACAATGTAGTCGCACCTAAACTCAAGCCTGTCGCTTTGCAGGCATCTTGTTTGGATGTCGCAGGCATGTCTGAGTAGTGTCGTGTCCGTCTCTGTCGGTGTCTGCCTTGAAAGGGGGTCAAAGCCGATACCATCTCTGACTATGTTCGTCACAACTAACTACTGTAAACGGGTCCAACCACGTGCAATTTGAGGCGACGGTGTGACCCTGTGCCTGTGGGAACTGAGTGCGGAGATTTCGACATCCGCGACGCTGCCGTTCATGACGTCCTAGCCGCGGAACGAAACATGAGGATTTGTGAAAACCATTACGATTTGGGCCCTGGGCGAACTGAATATGTATGTTGTGTGAGACGTCATACATACATTGCGGCACTGCCTGGCAAGAAGCAGAGGAGGAATTGTCGCCGTCAATCCCGAGCAGTCGCAGGATCTCGCCGCGGTCGTGAGCAAATCCCTGGTCAACAAAGATCTTTTCTCTTAGCGAGCGTTGGGGCCTAGCGCTCGAAGCAGGCTGTGTTGCAAACAGATAGCACAAAGCGACCCAAGCAAAGCTTGCTGAACGTACCTGGCATGGTGTGCAGCGGAGCCCCGAAGGATGGTAGGTGCACGCTGTGCCCAGAGGGCAGGATGCTTGGGCAGAGCATGCTGGAAAGTATGCTTCATGCTGCAGTAAATGCAGCATGGCCCCCTGAAGGATGACCACAAGAAGAGACAGTGCTGCCAGCAAGCAGGCCCGTGCAGTTGTGCAGTGAGGCCGCAATATGTTCAGCACCGCCCAGCTGTGAATGGAAGCGTGTGTCCAAGGCTGCTGAATCCAGCTCCAACAAGTCCAGCTTGCGGTCTCCGGGTTCAGCGGGTTCAGGTCCGGCGAAGTGGGAGCTGCTGTCGTTGGCAAGCTCTCCGAGCAGCCGGCGCCGATGACATTGGCCATGCTTGTGCCAGCTTCGATTTCGAATTTCATGCATCACCGAATGTTCAAGCCCTTCGTTGCAATCCTTTTGATTCGTCATTGGTGAGTTTCCAGTGACGGTTAGCACCAAGAGTCGGTTTATTGCTTGGCAATTCATTCCGGCCTAGAATGTGCGATTTGCAGATACGGTCACACAGCCATGATAGGGTTCCGAATACGTTTTACATACACTTTAGGATACGGTTCTGGGTACCGGTTTGAATACGGGTCGGAATACGAAATAGGGGTCGGAGTGCCGTGCTCAGGCCCCAAACACAATGGAAATACGGGTCGGAATACAAAGTAGGGGTCGGAATACGGGTGGGAATACGCTTCCAAAACCCAAAACAAACAGTTCGGAATTCGGCTCCAAAGGCCCAGTTCAAGCCTTTCGGGGGCATCGCTCACGCTTAAAGCTTCGAGCCAGTGGAGCGCAGGTGCATCACTGCAATTTGCGGGGGCCTGGAACGGGAAAGCCGTAAGCCGCTAGGTGCTATGCAAATGCGGTTGGGTACTTCGCCCAGCTACAACCAAGCCGGCAGCACATGTAGTTGAGCGCTAGTGTCATCTGCACGAACCAAGTCATGATGGTGGCTTCTGGAAGTAGATTGGGCGGCTTCGCCTCACAGGGCTGCCAGCAAAGCCATGCAGCTGTGCTACGGAACCGTGTCTGAGATAGGCCAAGTCGTCCCGCTGTCCTACGTCGTTCCATGTCGTTCCTACGTGGTATCTTTCATGTAAATTCCAGTTTCCATGCCAAGGGCAGTCTGAGACCCAGCAATTTGAAGCCAAGGCCCTACTGTTGATGCTGCTCACAGAGATCCTGGGAGCACTCTGCTACGGCTGCTATGGGCCCCCTTCCTTTCGGTCTTCGTTGCGGTTGGAGCTGTGACCTATGCGGTGGGCCGATAAGTCTTTGTCTATAATTTGGCCGTATGTGTGCAGCTATGGCACGTTCCGGGTCCTGTGGCAGCATGCCATCTTGATCTGCTAATCCTGAAGCCCTCCCGGCGTTTCAAGAAACTAACCAGCATTGTCTTCATTGCACAAGCTGCCCAAGTGTGGCGTCCTAAGTCGTTAACAGCCATGTCAGGCAGGACAGTGGAAGTTCGCAGGCACAGACCCACCTGTGTGCGTCGCTTTACCTCCCCTCGGAGGTCCCCGCTGTCGCAAAACTCCATGACCTCAGCAACGCAAATTCCAAGCCATCCCTGTCGAGCTCGGATGCTTCGTTCGGGATCGGTTCAAGCGGAGTAGCGGAAGCGAGCGCTTGATAGGAGGATACTGACTCCGTGTTGTCCGTCGAGCGGTTCAATAATCTTCAATATCACGTCACCATCACCGAACAGCAAAGTTCGTGAATTAGCTGGGTCAGGCCAAACTTGAACCACACACCAGAAGGCTCTTTGTCTCGACCAGGGGTCGATCAGAGAAGCAAACACGGAAAGAAGACTCTGTCCGACAAGAATGAGCGTGCAACGGAACACCCAGTTAGAACGAGCCCGACCACTCGGCCGAGGTAGAGAAGTCATCCCGAAGTCGCCCGACTGAAACCATTATAAAAAAATCGGTTCCGTCATGGAAGCAACATCCCAAACTCGAGCAGCCAACAACTTCAAACATAAGTTGCGTACCGGAACTTTCGACTCCCTGTTCGAACTTGGACTTGCATAGTATTTTTGAGACTCCTTAAAAGGCTTACACATTGTCTCTGTCCCTGTACATGTGTGCAAGCTGCGACATCTTAACAACCTGCCCGAAAAAGTTACAGAATCACTCTCTCGTGCAACGTGGTCTTTCCCCTTTCAAATTCGCAAAGATCTGAGTTTCCCCACACAGTCTCCGACCCTGCTGTCTCAAAGCAAGCCACGACAGGTTACGCTGCACAACAGTTGTAAGCGAAACTCGTTTTCTTCCAATGGCAGTTTTGTATTTTCCAGACTTGTCTATCCTGCGAAGAACACCGCCATGTCTGAGAGGCCTGTGAGACCGCTGCATGCCTCCACGTGCGATGAAGATCTATCTCAGAACTTCGTCACCAATTAACGTCACATGCCATTCCAGAATCCACGTAAGATCCAACGCAAAAAAGAGATGTAGTTGCATTATCGTTATTTTTCTGTGTAGACGGTGATCGTTCGTTGGGATCGCAGAGGTCTCGCGCTCCCGACGATCCACTATCATGACGAGTGTCGGCTGAATATCTCGAGTCGATTTCATGGTCTGATCTTATTCTTATATGCACCTAAGGGCCATTGGCCGATTTTACCGCCGCCGAGTGGGACATGATTATCAGATTAAACTATCAGATTCTCTGGCACCAACCACAAGAGGCGACGCAGCAACATGATGCGAGTGTCTTTGGCCAGCGCATTCGGACGACTGACGAAGAAAGAGTTGAAGAAAAGACAAATCAACGTGCACAGGAGTGCTACCACATCCCAAAGTCTGGACTCCAGCCTGGCTAAGGAGCCTGGGAAACAAACAAACGATGTGTAAGCAGGAACGTTGATATGATCCATGACGTCAGAGAAGGAGATGAAGGAGCAGCTGTCGCTTGAGAATTTGGCGACTTGGTTCCAACGTCATCGTGAAAAGGTGGAAGGTGTGAACATCCTGAATCTAGGGCACCAGCTATGACGAGCTCTAAGCTGGCCTGACAAGAAAGGGATCTGTGTTCTTCGAAGCACGTCTCCACTCGACGTCCGGCTACCAGGGCCTCTGTCAGAAAATGGTCTCGGAGTGCCACGATATGCGGATGGCGCCTCTGATGGCTGAGCAGGACCGCGGGAAAACCGCAAAGCGTGAACGCATCAGCCTATCAACCCCGACGGTTGCCGGTGGCGAAAGCATGATCTGAAAGCTGCAATTCTGATTTTCATACCATGTAATGTAATCCCTCTTACCATGGAATACCTCTCCTGCTGGGTGCTCCTATGCCAGCGACCGAGTAAGTTCCTCGCAAAGCCCTCATGAGCTCCACTTCCTGGAAGGCGAAGTTGTGCTCCTCACACCGAGCTCTTGTCACAAGCAAAGAGTTCACACACAAAGCTTTTGGTGGCAACCGAGGCGCATGTTCGTTGGTGCGAAATTACGCGGCAGGGACAAGTATTCCGCAAAACGAGAAGTGCGACATGAGTGTTGCATGAATTACGGCTTACAGGCACTGAGAAGATGCAGCTTGATTCATGGACTGCCTTCTCCGGAAGGAACTCGAGCCCCACCACTTTGGCGACAGCCTCTTGGTACAAGGAGCAACCCTTGCAAATACCGGGTGTCCAGCTGGCACAGCTAGTCGCTGCCTGGTCTCCATCTTTGTACTGGCCCTTTCCTGAGCAGTGCCCAGGCATCGAGCCATCAACGAATCCCGTCACGGCAACAGCAATCAGTCAATTTTGGGTCAAGGTCTTGGAAGCCGAAGAAGCTGCAATCAGGCACTACAGCCATTCAGGGCCTGGCGCTCTTCTCCACATTTCTCCTCGTCCCAGGACACGAGATATGCGGTTCCATACTGGCCTGCCGCAATGCGATGGAGACCCTTCTCTTCGCTTGTGATGTCATATCATGATATCGTGAAAGAACTGCTTTCCGAAGCACGGCAGCAGACCGGAGGCTGTGTGGGGATCTGTGGTCTATGTCATGTCAAATCTGTCATGGTGTGCTGTGGTGGGAGACTTTAGCTACCTAGTCAAGGGACATCAGTCCTGAACCCTGAAATGCGTGATCTAAAGATCGAATCCCTTTGCACGGGCAGTCGGTGATTGAACTGACGTGACTCCAAGAGATCAGCAACCTTCCGCTTCTGAGCCCGATCTTGCTTGTCTTGTGTTTGCGCACACTGCCTCTCTGATTGGAAACAAGTCTTCTTGTTGAACACATCGATTCCAATAAACTGGTGGGCTGCGGCCGCTATTGCCACCTTTTCTCTTTTTGGTTGAAGGCTTCCTTCCAGGCGACGATCTGCATCGCTCGTCTGCTGCAAGATCCACGCGCGTTTCTTCAGTTCTGTGTCCTGCCAAACTCGCTTCACGACGGAGGTGAAAGGTGTCTTTGAACATGATGTCGGCGGTCGCAGCAGCCATGTTTTGCGTCCCTGTCAAAACCCTCAAGATGCAATCCTGGTTTGCTTTGGGGCCTCAAAGTCCAGTGTGACCAGCTTCGTTCTATGGCTTCTGTGAATTGACTTCTTGAGTCGCTCAACGCTACAATCGAGCTCGCCTCTCCCAAGCTGCTTTGTGACTTGCCAGCCACCTGACCTGACAAAAGGATGACCAGTGTTTCTGTGCGCAGACAGGGGCCATGTTTGAATAATCGAAAGCCTTCTTGCTCAAAACAATACTAAGCTTGCAACGCGGCTATGCGCTCTCGTAGCGCAGGCTCACCTGGGGCTTGCAACAAGGCTTCCAAGTGTGTAGCAGCGTAGCAGTCAGATCTCTCGCCCCAGTTACGAAATTGCTTTGGCACGTCTCCTGCACATTACTGCATGCCGCTCAGGGATGCAAAGTCACGCGCCCTCGTGCTAACTTCGGTTCTTAAATCTGTGCTCTGTGCTCCGTGGTGCTTGCACAGCACATGCCGAAGTGTACTGGCATCTGGCTTGGTTGCCCGCAAGTTCTGCGTGTACATTAGCCCGCAAGTGAGCTGAAGCTTACACGGCAAACGAGCGACACATACCTGGGGTGTTGTTCTTGGAGCTCACTTGCATGATGCGTGAAACATGACAGACAGCGTGGTTACAATGGATTTCGCGTCCATATCATTTCACAGCTGCCAGAGCATCACCCGAAGTAACCTGCATTCTCCTCCCCATGTACTGCACGAACTGCTCCTTCAGGTATTTTCCGTCAGCGCCAGCATCTCCCATGAACTGCAGCTCGCGTGGCAAATGCTTTCTCCACAAGGCCTCCACATCGCCTTTTGCAAACATGTCTTCAAAATCAGACTGGGAAACCTTGCCGTCAGCGTCTTTGTCGAAAACGGCGAAAGCAGCTTCTACCAACCGCTTGTTGCCACAAACACTGACGCACAAAGCTCCCGCAATGAACTCCGTCCACGTCACCGTCCCGCTGCGATCCTGCCCAAGACATGAATTGTGGAAGCGAAGTTGCCGCATTTCGACTGTTCTGTGGAAGGCTTACGCTACTTGTACGTCTGCTATGTGTTTCGACAAAACACCAGGCGCGAAAAGGACACTCCTGATCCAGCGCATGTACTATGCGTTCGACTTGCAGGGGCGACATTCCAGACTTGTACAGGACATCCCGAAAGTCAGATGATACCAAACATCCCTGATTCAGGGTGTCGAAGTGGGTGAAGATGGCACGCAGCTCACTCAATGCCGGTGCAGTGCACATATGCGCGATGAGAAGGAAGACAGCCTTCTTCAACTCTGGCTGCCCTGCATACGCATCCAAGCATTGCGTAATGCCAACAGAGAGAGGAGGGGGAGCCGTCTCGTGCTTCTTGAACCATGCATGCTCCAAGCATGCCGCTGCATCGGGTCTCTTGCTTACCTCAGTGATTCAAGTCATGCAGTTCTGCGCATGCTGCCCAAACAGATTTCGGGGATGGTCATGCCCGTAGGCTAGGCGGCGTCTCTACCAAGTCCTACTTCTACGGTCTGTGGGGTGGAGCCTAGGCCCAGATGGCTTGGGTTGTGCTCAGGCAAGCCACGCTCTTCTCTAGCGTCTGGCGCATCAGGTCTCTGCTTTCCGGGGTCCATGTCTTCAAGTGCTTGTTGTCCCGGAAGCTGTCTTCACAGATTGATCGTGTGAGCTCTGTCTGCCACCATTCCATGGTCTTACCTTTCGGCAAAGGCCATGCTGCCATAAACGGGTAGTCTCCCGCCATCAGGTTGTAGTGAATGACTCCGGCACTCCAAATGTCCGACTTGAACTCCAACTTGAGCCTGAAAACTTCTGGAGCCATGTACAGAAGCGTGCCGCCAAAAGCGTCGGAATGCTTCTGGTCTGGCTCGAATAGCTCAGCCAGACCAAAATCGATAACCTTGATTGAAGCTGAATCCTTGCTGACAAGCATGATGTTCTGTGGCTTGAGGTCTTTGTGCATGAAGTTGTGGCTGTGCATGAAGGCCAGCGCTCGGAACGTTTGCTTCATGACATCACACACGAACTCCTCTGAGTAACAAGGTTTGCCTTTTTGGAAAACTTCGTTGATCCGATCTTGTAGCTCCCCACCATAGCAAGGTTCCATGATCTGAGACACGCTGTCCCTATCCTGAAAATACTCGTAGACTTTGATGACATTCGGGTGGTCAAGTGTGGCCATGCTCTCAATCTCTTGTAGAATCTCTTCCACTTTCATACCCTCTTTACCCTTAAGCTTTGCAATTTTCTTGCACACTCTGGACTCACCCGAAATGCGATGCTGCACCGTGTAAACCTTTCCGAAGCTTCCTTCGCCCAGGAGCTTGCCAACCTCGTAAACAGCTTCAACACGCGCAGGGTTCTGGCGGACGAAGCTGTGGGTCTTCGCCACCAGCTTCTCAGGGAACCAAGTTCGCACTCGATCCTGCAGAATCTGATGTGCTAGCTTCGTGAAAGCCGGGACATCCAAGACTCCGTCCTTGCCATGTCTGCTGACCCAATCCTCTGCAGCACGCATTTCCACCGGAAGGGTTGTACCAATAGGTCGCAGCAAGTGCTTGGACACTGCGTCTTGCGCTTGCGCCGCGCTTAGTGTGCCGGCATCTCCAGAGACAGTGGCTACAATCTTGCTGGAGTACTTATTGAAACTGTCCGCAGAAGACAGAAGGTCGAGCAACCAAGTTTGCGGGTCTTCGATTTCAGTGGTGATCGACCTTGCAAGAGGCTTTGCTGTGCTACCTCCGCAATTGGCATCGTGACCACCCTTTCCCTGTGCACACTTTTTGCAACAGGTGTCAAAAGCCTTCATGCCTCTTGTGAGGCCCGGCTGCACTGGACGACCGCATCCCATCTTGCACATGCCAGGTTTCTGTTTAGCCGCTTCCGCCGGCTTCGCACCTGGCAGAGGTGGCAAGTGAGGTTCGGAGGGCGGGACGTCGCCGCCCTGGACCTTCCGAAGCGCAGAGGGTACTTGGTCTGGCAGGATCCACTTCGTCCCAGCAGAAGATGTCACCTTGACGGCACCTGCAGGAATTGCGTAACCATCTATGACGCAGTCCCGGTCCGGAGCCTCCAAGACCACAGCATCAGGAATCCAAGACTTCAGGGAGTTGCTCCACACTTCCACGACCTCCCCCTTAACGTAAGACTGAGTCGCCATGGCTTTCGACCCTTCAAGGTGTTGAGCCTCATGTTTATCGCTGCGTGGCCCCAGCATCACTGGAACTATGTGGCCTCACAAACGCTGCAACTTGAGCTGGACAGCCGACACTGAGCCCTTCACCCATGCACCGAGAGGCAAAGAGGCTCGGCCCTGGTCGTGGCCAAAAACACCAGACGAGTCTAAGGCTCCTCTCCACAAGCTTCAAACATTCCCATGAAAGCTTCCCGATAGCCTGGAATGCACCCTCCATGAGCTGAGCGCGGCCCCTCCAGCCCATGCAGCTAAGCCCGATCTCATGGAGCGTGCAAAATGGGGGTTTTGGCTCAACTCTCATCGCAGCACGGCCGCGGCTACTGGCCGTCGAGGTGCAAACCTTAGAATAACTTAGATGCCTGCTGCGCTACTGTACAAACCGCATCTCTTTTCCTGCGCAGCAGGCCCTCGTCGTTGCGCCCACCTCAGCTTGGACGTTCTTTGGTCGAAGCCTTCGGTCAGGTGTCCGTCAACCCTTGGGTCTGGCCTAGTCAGTGGTACGCCGTTGTGGCCGGAGTCTATTATGGACTCCACTTGGGTTCGATGCCTCGACTGGGTTCTTCATGCCTCAGCTGAGGTGAGGCATGCTGGCGCCATTCGTAGCTGGCCTCCGCTCTCTCCTCCTGCCATCGCTGCGCTTGAGTAGCTGCATCACGCCCAATTTGCAGGGCGAGATGTGCGCAGTTGTTGGAATGGAAGCCCATTTCACTTCTGCACCAACCACAGTGCGGCGAATAGGCCAGCCAGCATCCTGGGCAAAACAGGTTGCTGCGGCGTTCGAATCATGTGACAAGGCAAGCAGCCATGCAGGCTAGTGTGAGGTATGTCGTCATTTTTCGACAGATAGATTTATAGATCGAGCGTGTTATTTACGCTCTCACCCGTCGGACTGGCCAGGCGAGGTCTCGTGCGCGGGCCAGGCAGTAAAACGTAGTCGGGGTCATTTGATCCAAGGACGCAAATGACTTACATAAAGTCGGCAATGCACAAGTGCGCAAGTAGAAAACAGGTGCACATACCAACAGAACGCAAGCCCTTTGACTCGCTCCTGCCCTGGGGTGGTTCTCTGCAAAATCCCTCCTCGAGCGCCTAACACTAACATACGACAACCTGGAGTCCAGGCAGAAACTCCCGCGGAGACCACACTGCAGGGGCTTTCATATGTTTCAAGCCGGCGTGTTAGTCGAGGTCGAGGCTGTACGGCCCCAGGATGAAACTAGCAGGGTCTCTCTCCGGACAGCTTCAAGACATTCAAGCTTTGCAAACTGGCTTCATGAGGATTTGGGATTTCGACTCGCGCAACTGGCATGCATCATTTAGCGTAATCGAACCGATGCCGTTGAAGCACAATGCCAGGCAGCTGGCTGTGATCTCGGCCTGCACACGCGACGGCTCGATGCCCGAGTTTCTCTGCAGTAGTGAACCCACCGTTAAGGACAACCAGGTCCCCCTGATAACTGTTCACCGAAAGTCGGAGCCCCTTCCTTCTCCAGGTTTGTGCGTCCACCTTCTCCATTTCAACTTCTCCCGGGCCCGTCTGGGGGATGCATGCGATCGTAATTGCCAGGTAACCCCCATAAACTGAACGCATGCTGCGCCATGATTGCAAACACTGCTGAATTGAATCACATCGGACCTTGCTGCTTGATGTCTCACCTTTTGGCTCTCCAGCTGTGGGCATAATTACTGTCTGTCGGTTAGTAAAGGGGCCCGCTCCTCCCCCTCTTCCTCCCATACTTCCTGCAGCCGGAGAATGATTCCTGGAAGGATTGGTTGCCTTTGAGAAGCTCTGCCCAGTGTGCAGGCTTCAATCCTTGATGTCTTAAGCTCCGGGACAACAAACTTTTGCTCACCATACTGCCTTACCCTCAACATCAAGTAAAAACCTGCAGGAACGTCTTACACCGATTGCCCGAATGGGCCTGCGACCAGGAGACCAACGCCAAGATGAATGGCCCGGAGGCCTCTTGCGAGCAAGCGGTGGATGTGTCCAAGCTTTCAAGAATATGCACGAAAGAAGATCCGGCCAGTGATGGCCAGTGCCCTAGTCTTACTGCGTATCTACATTCTGCCTGCCAGGCAGTTCGTTTACATTCAGCTCAAGAGCAACAGCTGTTCAATGACTTACAGGCCTGACCAAGGGCCCACATCCCGTTGAACACGGCAGATACCAACCTGAGATGAACCGTGGGGCTTGCTGACTCAACAAAGAAACACAGAAATGAGACTGGGAGTGGGCGAATGAAGCCCCTCCTGTTGTTGTCCACCGAAGGCTCTCTATCTGCTGGCTACAAGGGAAAGCCATATGACCGGAATGTCCATGGTGCCAGTGCATCAAAGCTGCCCGGGACGGTGAGGGCATTCCAAAGTTAATCTGGGATACGAAGGGAGTAAGACGAAGGCCTCCCCCAAGCCCAGGAGAAGCAAGCCCAGCGCCATGCTGGGTATGCCGGCATCCGTCGCCAGGAGACCAAAACCCACGAACCTTGGAACACAACTCCACGCAACTTTGGCTTCGGTGTTGCGGCCACATTTGCAGGCCAACCACAGAATGGCCCAGCCCATAGCCAGCTTCTTGCTCAAGGCCGCCCAATCTCCTCCCAACAGCAAAACATTCTCTGAGATCTTTCGTTTCACAAGGGGGCCAAATCATGCCGTCTCCTGCACATTCATCGCACTGTCTGCCCACCACCGGTGCCTCGACGTCTTTGCTAGCTAGTAGCATGTTTCGACTTTAGATTGTACATCTGACAAGGCCCGTGGGCCATTTTGGAATACAGGTCGAACATTTTGTGTGAAGATGGAACTGCCGCCAAGCTGCAGCAAAAAGGTAGCTGACGGCCACCAGCAACTGAAGTAAGGCGCTCCTCTGAGTTCCTATGGCCCTGTTGTGCAATGCCAGCCCGGAGTACATGGCGCCGCTGCAAGCACCTGACACTTCCAGCAGTACCAAGGTCCAAGATGCTTGGAATCTGAAGTGAGTATGGCACCGTAGGCAAAAATTGGGCTTCCCTGTGCAGACAGGCGGATCAGAAGCCTTGCATAACCTCGGCTGGCAAGTGCTCACGGTGTGATAGCCACCCCCTTTCTAGATCTCACCAGAAAGATTGTGCTTCTCCGATGGCCTTACCAGGGCTCCTGCAGAAAGGTCTTGAGGCAGTCCGAAAGTGGCGAGCCACTCACCAGGTCTGCATCAGTTTGAACTTCTCCGTTATCGGCGGACTCAGGCTCTTCCTTGCAAGCTGCATTCAATGTCAGGCAACTCCCAAGATGACTGACCCTGCACCGGAGCAACCCTGCCTCGAGCAGCTTGCATACACCCGGTGTGGCCAGGTGTAAGACAGGCGCGACAAGACCAGCGGCCAGTAGACCCCAAATGCAGTTGGCCGCAGCAAAGCCCACAGAGTCGTACAAGAAGGCACCTTCGATGGATTAGCATTCGCCAGGGAGCTGCCTGCAGTCCTGTCCGGATCCGTGGCCTATGGGTGGTCCCAGGATCCAACCCAAAGCTTCGCAGGACTCCAGAACACCTTCCATGTAGCCCAGCCTGTGAAGATTATCTAAATTAGGTTGCATTATGTTGCATTTGATATCACGGTAACCGATTGCCCTGCCTCGTCCCTGCTACAGCGGCCACCAATGCTGCTGAGGAAACGTCCGCTGCCGAGCTGGCTAGGCCTTATGCAAATATCGCAGGCAGGCTTAATTCCGGCTTTGGCGTCCTACAGGGCAGCCTGCCGCCTGCATGCTGGAAGGTACGGAACAAAAAGACATCGAAATACGATCCGAGTGTCCACATGTGCTGAACGAACTGCCGTTAACATGAGCATCTGCCCGGCCGGGACTAGCTTATTGCTGCTTTTTTCAATTAGTCAGTTAGTCGCGGTGGTGTGATTGCAGGATGTCGTTGCAGGCTGCCGTGGTCCCGGTTGTACATACTGTTGTTGTTGTTGTTGCTGTTGCTGGTAGCGGCTGTGTTTCAGTCCTGTCAGGCCCTTGGAAAGGTGGGGGGGGGGGGCGGGGTAACACGACCCCTTCCATCACCGCAGAGCATCCATCCATGGCCCAACCATGATAACGTCACTCACCCTCCATCCGACCCCACGCAGCCAAGGCCCAACCATGATAATGCCCACCCAGACTCCACCCATGAACGCAGAGCATCCATGAGCATCCATGGGCCAACCATGATAACGTCCACTCAAGCGTTTGCACAAACTCGGGCGGGTCACACATTTTCAGATTTGTGCGCTTCGTGCAAGCCAGCACGACATCGGCCAAGTGGAATCACTCCATGTGCAAAAGAACCATGCGAAAACATATTTTACCTGAAGCCGCGAGAAACTGCTCAAACCGACCGGCGCCAAAGAAAACTAATCTTTTAAACGCCCTTTTTGGGCCCACTTTTCCACGCCAATATGTCCAAAACCCTGTTAACAAAGCCTATTTTCCAGAAAACAAACAAAAAACTACAATCGCCTTTTCAAAAAGGCCTTATCACTCCCCCCCCCCTTCCCCCGCGTGCTGACTGCAACTTTGTCGGTGGGGACGGTGTTTCGATGTCCGAAAACACAGCGTCGGATCCGCTACGGGCGCGCGACCTTTGCTGTTGTTGTTGCTGCTGCTGCTGGTGGCCGTGGTGGTGGCCGCCGGCGGCAGTGGTGTCGCTTTTGCTAGTGTCGTCAAGTGTCGTCGTCATGTCGAGTCGTCGTCCTAGTCGGCTTGTCGCCGTCGCTGTCGTCCCAGTCGCTGCTAGTGTTGCTGCCGCATCTCGAATTGCTCCGCTTGTGGTTGTTGTGCGGCTATTGTATATGACTGGAAACTGCAACACGTGCAAAGCAAACTCATGACAAACAAGGGAAAGTTACGGAAAGTTGTGGCAAGGCACCCTGCGCACTGCGCATCATGCCCAGCATCACCAGAGAAGTGGAGTATCCAAAACCCTTAGGTCGATGAAACGATTCTTCTCAATAGGTGCTGCACTTGTGCTTCAAGCCCAGTCGCACAAACACTGATGGCCAGTCCTGCCAAGCCCAGCGCCATTGCCAGTCGTGCCCCCTCAATCCTGCCGAGCAGGATGCCGGGATGACCCGACGGCTTTTCAAAACCTTCTAGCAAATTGCGGACCTGTCACAGACTGCGCCAGCAGGGAAAAGCATAGCCAGGTAAAGTAGGGGATATGCAGAGAGCACCTGCTGAAAAGTAGGACAGTTGCCGTCGTTCTGTGTACTCACTGCTGCGCAGCTATGCAAGTCAAGCCTCGGCCCGCTGGGTATGTGAGAGGCCCATGGCTTGACTCTTCAGGGGGAACGTGGCATAAGCCGAGGCCACGGCTGCACTCAGGAGCACCTCCGAATCTCCGATTTGCAGCCCGAAAACAAGAAGACATCAACCCCTTCCCCTCGAGGCAACGGCCTTGGCCGAGCCACAGACCACGAGGTGGTTGTCGAGATACAACCCCATGGCAAAAGGCGAACTCCAGAAACATTTGTCGTTTGCTCTGCTACAGTAGGTTTGGCTGGCGCTGGTTGTCTGCTCTGCTTCCGAGTCAAAATCGACGGAGCGAGCCGCAGCCACGTGACGAACGAGACTTGCAAGCGCCAGGTCCATTATGGGGTTCTGCTATTCCCAGGCCTGGCCAGCTACTGTAACATGCGCTTTTCTGCTCTTCTGGCGACTTGCAGGACGCTGCGTGACGGAAGGCAGCGTCGCGGCACGCCCGAGGCGGGACGCCGCAGAGTGGGGACGAGCAGGACTCAGAAGGCGGTACTTTCTGATGGAAGCTCGACTCTTCAATCCACTGCAATGTATGAATCTCTGCCAAATGTGTGCATCAAAATGTAGGGTGGCGGCTCCTTCGACTTTGACTCTGCAGTCTGGCGCTTTGGAGAGACTTTCGCCTATCCAGCACGCGACGACTGGCACCCTTGAAGAACAGAACGTGTGGCGAAGCCCGAGCTGCCGCTGAGGCCTCGGCTCCCCGTCGTCCCGAGGTGGAGCCTAGCCCACAGCCGTTGATAGATTCGGGGCTCGAGGTTCTTGCTGCTGATCGAGGATCCAGGTCAACACTCCAACCCTTTCTACTTCAAAAGATATCGAAAACATGTGATGCAATAGGGTAAGGCAGTGACTCGGCCGGTTGCCTAAGATAGAACCAGGGAGAGACTTGAGTACTGGGAAAAAAACCAACAAGCTGATCGCATCTGCACCGCCAAGACATTGACGCGATGGGACGGCGCCTGCCAGCCTCCCAGCAAAACAACAACCAAGGCCCCTGCCCCGTTTGATTCTTGTGGGCCTTTTGGCAGTGGCGACGCCGCTGGTGGCGCTGCGTGGCCGAGACGCATCAGCAGAAGTGGATGACAGGACCTTGCACTCGATTTAATTCAGCTTCGATTTTTTCGGTTTCTCATTGAACTCCCAGCCTGCTCGTATGGGGACCGCTGCAATGCTTTGGGCCACGGTCGTCTGTACAAAGTGGGCAGGGCCTCATGTGCCTTAACACGGAACGCCAACGACTGCAGGCAAACCGCAAGTAGTAATGTGTTCTTGGCCATCGGCATAAAAGGTCGGTATCTTCTCCAACGCAGCGCTGAGCCATGAACTTAGTGCTGCAGAACGACGCGGCTCCCGCTCCGCACTTTCGAACTTGTCAAAAGCGCAGTCGCACAAAACCATCAGCCTTCTGAGGCACACCTTTGCACCGAAAAGCTTAGACAGCACGCCTGCTGTTTGTCAGTGCTACTGGATCCGGGCCGATGCCTGGCTCGGGCACTGCTTTCATGCTGGGACTCAGAAAGTGCCGCCTGCCTGGTGCTGCTCCAAGGGTGGAGCTCATCCACATCCTGGGATAACTGCGGATAAGCTTCCTTTCCTTTCCTAACAACGGTAAACCTCTGAGCTCCAGGCGTGCACTGTGCTCGCCCTGCCTCACGGTCACAAGGGCAGGGGAGTAGTTAAACACTTGGTGCTCCTGGCGGCTCTTTGGTTCCACTTTGGTTGAGGCTCTCGCAACTTGTGGCCGGGCGATGTGCCGTTTCACTGGCCTAGGCGGTACTGACATGTGCTCATCGGGAACAATTTCCAGCAGCTTTCTAAGCTGCAGAGCTCTGGACATTTCTGAGTTGCTTCTTTTCTTGCTACGCTGTCCTCAAAACACATGAACACGAGCTGCTACTTTCCTCATACCTCAGCGGGCAATCGAATTGGAACTAGCACAAGATTCCATCGTAATGTATCGAATCCTGTTCTGTGCGATGGTCAGATCAGCAAGCGTCTTGACTTGCAAAGAGACCCTTGAAACTGATATTGGCAAGCACGCTGCAACAGGAGCACTGATCGATCAGTGGAGAGAGCACTGTGCAAAACGTTGATAAAATAAACTCAGCTGTTCTTCTAGACATGCTCCGGTTCGACTCGGCAGTGGCAGTGTGGGTAAGCTCAGGCTCCGCTGCATGCAACGCTCGAAGCGCGTGAATCTGCAGGCCTGCCTTAAGAAAGTATACTTGGGTGTTTGCAACGGAAAATTGGTGTCCAGTCCTTCTCTGTGATGACCGGCTTGGTAAGTACCACGAATGCTCTAATGCGAGATCTAACAGCACCTCAATATGATGTAGGACGTGGCTACTCGCCGCCAGTCAAGCCAGGATGAGCGAACCGCGAATTCAGTCATCGCTATGTGATTCCACCCGGGTCGGGCGCTCTTGTAGCGCACAGAAGAACAGCCAAATGCCCAAGTAGTAACAAGTCAGACTGTGACCAAACAGATTTGCAAGAGTATTGGGTAGGTCGCAGTTCTGGAATGAGCTACTTGTACCCTTGTCCTTGCCATACCCCCGAGTGGTGTGCTTGCCGCCTGCCTGCTGAACTGCTGCGGAAGGCTCCGACATCGGCCAAGTGCTTCTGCCATTCTAGCCCAAGTCTTGTGATCCACGGCAAACCTTGTCGAATATGCCTCCCAAAGCCAGGACAGCGACCGAGTTGCGGCACATTTAAATGCGCATGACACACTACTACTACTACTACTATTTGGACGTCTGTACTTCGAGCATGCCCGCCAGGAAACTTCTCCAACCACACCGGTTTGGCTCGCATTGGCAGTGACATGAAGCCGAGTCTGCTTCGGAGAAAGCAGACAGGCTTGACATCCCGTTGCGACCTTCAAGCGCTCAGCTTTCAGAAGCTGACTCCTGAACAATGCAAACTTCATGTGCAGCTGCCTTGCGCCATCACACGCTCGAACTAGCATCTGCGAGGCTTCATAGCTACTGAATTCATCTCGCAGCGCGGCGCAAATGCAGGGATAATGCAACACTTTGTCTGCCTGTCTTTGCACAAGCCACTAGCCACACAAGAGAACGGAACAACTCGATGATTACCACAGTGCACCAAAAGTGTAACATGCCATTCTCCAAGTTCCGTGCCCCTGCTGTATTCGGAAAGACAGAGAGAGAATGGGCAAAGCCCAAACACCAAAGTGATCGGGTGATGTGCACGGTCATGGTGAAAACACGCAGATGGCGAAGGCGCCAGGTCTGTGCCATCTGCGAAGATTTTTGACACACCCGGAACAGGATTTCCCTGCAGTGTGCAGAAGATGCGCCTTACACGGACAAACTGGTTCGCCGCGCGTGTCAGCGTCATCCTGCAGACCGTCCAGTACGGGCACCCAGCTGGAACGAGCAATCAACCTGCCGAGCTACGACTGTACACATAAACGCCCTTAACATGATCAGAGCTTCCTGCAAAAAATCACAGCCCCTTGCATCACTGCTGGGATTTTCGTGGATAAGCGCTGGCGGTTCCGCGCAGCAGCTCACACCCACATGTCATGGACGTACATGATCTCCAATCTTTCGCAAAGGGAACTACCAGTGGCTCGAGACTTTGTGACAAGCGTGCCCCATGCGAAAGAGTCGGTTTGTCGGAACAGCACTTGTTTGAGCAAATGTGGTGCCTGGCTTCATACACTTTAAATTTGACGTTTCCTTTGCGTTGCTCTGCGCAACTGTTGGCTCAAGGGGCTACACCTACGACATGGTTGGAGTTGCCACAAACAGCTCAGAAGTATCTCTAAGAGTGGCATTCTGTTGTTGACCATCTCACGTCATTCATGGTTGTTGCAGCAGCGATGGAAACGTCAAGCGCATTGAAAACCAAATTCTCGGGGCGAAATGCCAAGCTGAACTCTATCTCCGTCTCTCTGGGTTACTCCAGCTCAACTCCAGCAAAAGCTTCGACAGCTGCGCAACTGTTTAGTTACATGGTTAGTGCAAATTTCAGCACCTGCCGTATGTGAGGCCAGTGACTGAAACGGAGCTGAAACTGAATCAGTAACTAGATAACCCAAAGAACCGGAGTGGTTGGCGGCGCGAAAGCATTGGCCACCACTTGGAAGAAGCTAGTCTTCTTTGCACCTGTGTCAAGCAGGCAGCATGAGAGAGTACATTCACAACCATGCCCCGTCTGCACACCTATCCAATAGTGTTGTCATTTGATGGCTGATATGAGCCCAACTAGATCGACCGAATAGACAAAGAGCGCCCCTGGAGTTTTCATGGCTGCGAGAAGCCGGCCTTCTTTGACAAGTTTGGCCTTTTGTCCTCCCTCGAGATGCACTGGACTCACGGCATCCTTCGGCTTCAAGAACCTGCAACAAGAACTCAAGATCCTCTTCATCATTTCCACAATTTTGTGATTCAATGGGGAAGGGGACCTCAGAGATCATCGCTCGGATTGACCGGGCGGTTTTGTGCACAAAAAAGACCACCCACACCAAATTGCAAACGCATGTCTTGTGCACACTATCGCTGTCTATGTATTGCAGTCGAGGAGCTCGAAGGCATCAGCCAAAAGGCTGCCGGACAAGCCTGTGCCCACTTGGAGTCTGTAGCCACCCTCAGCTTGTGCACGTGCAGCATGCTTGGCCCTTGCCCGTGGAATTATTGAAGTCTGTTTCACGATTGTGCTAGTCTGGCGAGCCGAGAATCTGTCGCCAGCTCCTCGTAGCAGTGCAGAATTTTCACTTCTGCTGTGAGGTCAGAGCTCTCCATTCCACGCATGAGGTAGGCTTCAGCATCTGCGACAGACTCAATGCCTTGGTTCCGGGCTGTGTCTTCATGAGCTCAACCACCCCCCGTTCATCTTTTAACTGGTGTGAAGAAACAGAAGGTCTTTTCTCACATTCGGTCACAGCCTCAGGCCGACTCACCCGACACAAAGTCTGCCCTACTGTCTTCAAGAACTACACTCACTGCCTCACTGCAAGCCCTCGTGCGATCGGATAGTGTTCCAAGTCGATAAGGCACTTCGACTTGTGCGCACCTCACGTGCCTTCGTAAGCGCATATGACAGATTCCACAATCTCAAAAGCCTGTGCGAAGGCATCCGGTCCGAATCCACATGTCTCGTACCAGTGCAGGAACATGCCCGAGGCATATTTCTTGCAGGCTCTCGAGTGCACGCTCCGCAGGGTTTGTGACACTCTCTTCCAATTGGTCAAAATACTCGCTCGTGCAGGTGGTGCCGAGCGCAAAGGCTGTGTACTGCAGAGCATATCAAGAGAAAAGGGCTGCCAAGGCACTGTACCGCCTAACTTATCAAGCAGCTCAGTTTTTAAGGCCACACTGCCAAGCAGCTGCTTGTGTGCCCCGCGCACTACAGCTCGGGCGGAAATCAAGTTTTGAGAGTTGCGCGAACTTCGTGGAAGCCTCAACGCATCGATAACAGGCTTAGGACTCGACGGTGGCCCAAGTGATGAGAGCACTTCACCGCTGAAAGCTTGAACGATCTTGTGACTGGGCAGTGGCACAGCCGCAGACAGCACTTCCCCCAGGTCAGCCGGCAGGGAATCTGGGCACAGATGTGGCACGAGGTCGCGCACCAAGACCGAGTTCATGGAAGCCAGCGATGTCCCAGAGCTGTAATCTGCCGTTTTACTGTCATCAGCAGATGCGAGCAGCATGTCGTTCTCATACAGAACGATTCCATCAGAGACCTCTTGCATGCATGAGAGAGCCAAGATCGCATTGTAACTTTGCATCGGATTCTCCCCACTGGAGATTGGCAGGATGGAGGTCGTGAGCAGGGATGCCTTGGGGTATGCATCACGCACCTCTTCGGCCAGGCGGGTGCCGAGGCCGCTCCCAGTTCCGCCCCCCAAGGAGTGTGCTAAGTACGTTCCTAGGTGTCGACCGTGACAGCCCTCAACTTGGTGTCGAAAGCGCTCCATGGCCTTGGCCCAAAGGGGTTCAGAATCTCCATCTAGGGAGGAAGCGCGGCCCAAAGAATCTCCAGCGTATCCCAGTGCGAAATTGCCACCCCGACCACTTTGGGTCGTGACGGCACTCGCTGGATCAAACTTGTATGCGCCGTTGTCCTGACACAACACACTTTCCACGACCTTCGGCTCTGCATCTACCAGAATCGCCCGAGGGCAAACGGCACTTCGGGTCCGAAAGAACTCCGGAGAGCCGGGCCGCTCCTGTGCAAGCGCGGGCCAAAGGGCATCTCCGATCTGGCAGCCTGCTTGCCCCACATGCAGAAACACAGTTGACATCCACCCCAGTCCTATTGGGCCACTTGCTGACCTAAAGTCGCTTGTGCAGTTAAAGAGATAAGGCCCTTCTCGAATGCCTTGCTCAGTTTGCCTTGAAAAGGATCTTCAAGACGCTGCTATCCGACTAACTGCCGCAACGGCTCAGTTTCTTCACAGTTGACGATCATGGCTGTTGGAAGCTTGCTTACCGTGTGATGCCCGTATTCTAGGCTTGGGAATTTCGTCCATCAACGTGGCAGCTGATCAAGAGTGGCCTTTTGCAAAAGCACTGCTGCGAACCTAAGCAACATGACAACAGAACTGCGCCCCAGGTGCTCGTATCACCGCAATCCCAGCCAGAGACGGGACTCAGGAAGAAGTCGTCGATGACCACCACCTTGACGTTGGCAGTAAATCTGTCCTGCTTTGTGGACTGACCGCATGCGGTGACTGGAGATCTCTTCAACTCGAACGAGCTTCACTGTTCCGGGTCCTTCTGTGCAAAATCTGACAAATACGTTCCTCAGCATCTCTTCTATCAAACAGGCACAAATGCTGACAGAGAGCCGAAAGGTTGGCATCCGTTAGCCAGTGGATGCTCAGTAAGCTCGCGGCGTATTGCTGCAAGTCTGTGCACGGCATGCCGCTCTGGTAGCAGCAAGGCAGTTACTCCGTCGAAGACAAACGGCCTTCGTTGAGTGAGCGCAGGAAATGGAGGAATTCTCGTCAAGCCTGCCCTCGTAAAAGCTATGAAGGATAGCAGGGAAGGGGATACGCTCCTGTGCATGGGTGAAAACAGCTTCTCAACAGTGCTTTATCCCTTGGAGCCTCCCCAGGCACTGGGACAGCTCCTCCTCGAGCACCTGCCGGGTCTAAGACTTACTCACTGAGCAGGCTGAGTTTGTCGAAGCGTGTGCCAGAGCTCCACAGCTTGAGCGGACCTTCCGTCTCCCAGCATGCTGCTTCTTCCGCCAGCTGGAAGAGAGCACCACATGGCAACGATTACCGGCCTCCTGCGTGTGCAAGGGAGGACAGTCCAGCTCTCAACAGCTCACTGTGCAGCTGAGCATATCCTGGATGAGCAACGCCAGTCGTCCCAGCAACACCTCGCCGGCTTAATGCTGCTACTCCCGTTCGCAAATGTTTACTCATTTAGACATCAACACTGAGAGAGACTTCCCGATCCTTGGAGAGCTGATCCTGGCTTGCCTTGCAGGACGTCTTACGTTGCTGGGCAACGAGGCAGCGGAGTGTCTAGAGGGCTCCTGTCCAATTACTAAGACTTTCCACCTGCTCCGACAAAGGCGGATTCAAGAACTACGGGACTTTGCCACTCACAACACATACATACTGCTTGGCACTGCACTTGTTTTGCAGCCAGTCGCCAATGCTTCGTACGTGATGCTCCCGAAGCAGTCAGCCGCGTGGGAAGCCAAAGCACAAATTCGCCGTGCTGTATCAGCATCTCGGCCTGTGTCTCATCTGGGAAGATGTGCAAAGCGAACGGGCAAAAGCTAGGTCATGCTAGGCAGAAGAAACTTGTCTGTCTGAGGAGCCGTTGTAGCCTGCGGCACAAAGCTCTCGTGCCAGGTCTAGCTCATTGGTCTTGAGCAAAATTGGGGCATTTCCTTCGATCGGTGGACAGTGGCGGCACAGCTTCAGAAAGCAAAGAAGGCACTGCAAAAGCCAGGCTCCGCATGAACAAGCAGCGCTCCAACACAGCTCTGCAATCCAAGGTGCCATCATCCTGGATGCCAACGTTCAATACGCCGTCCTTAAAGGTCATCTCGGATGCAGCCCGTCGCTAGCCGCAGCCATGCCGGTTTTCCGCTCCAGCAGTATGCCCCACGTCAATCAAACCATTGTGCCAAACACATATATGTCTGACAAGGATCCACATCAACGAACAAGATGGTGTCAAATGGCTCTGGGCATCCACCATCCGTGTCCGTTGGCGGCGCCATCCTCGAAGCAATTTCTTGACCCGAGCTTAAAGCACATGAACACACTGCCACCAACAGCATATCACGAAGCTCTGGCCTCGTTTCGCGAGTGTCGTGGACAAACAATGAGTATCTGTATTGGAATTTGAACAGAACGCCCTGAAAGCCGCAAATTCCGACACACCGACTGCTGCCAAAGATCACGCCGTAAATGGTGCAACCTAAAGCTATGTCCCCGCACGGCAGGTGTACATTTGAGCCAAACAATCTGGTCGGCATACCAAAATTGACTTGATAGCATTATCTGACCAACTTCGTAGCTTGGCCCCAAGACTGACGACAACATGCACGCATAGCTGGAAATCGTCATTCTTCAGGCATCTCCGCAAGTCGAAACGTCAGGCTTGTCATCCAATCTCATCATCGCAGATATTGCCGCAAATGCCTATCATGGGAAACCTCTCCACCTGGCGGACGGTCCACTTGAGGCTGCTGCTGTGGCAACTCCTCAAACAAATCGATCTCCTGCGAGGGCTGGGCTTCGGCTCAGCGGAAATAGCGGGAGCTTCTGCTGCAAGTCAACTGAGCAACTTGCCGAAGGGTTTTTATAAATACTTGGACCCTACATCCGGTCAATTATCAGGTTTATGGTATATCAGTGTTCGGGCCCGGAGCTGTTCCTATGTCACACCGACAATGCAGCAAAGTCCGGATCTTGCGGGTTGGCAGGAGCAGTCAGGCCTCGGCTGCTCAAGCTTCTCAACCAAGCTCGCGCTTTGAAATGCCGCTGCCCTGATCTTTACCCAGCGGCCGTCATTGCCGGAACCCGGGTCAGGTGCAGCATCTCCGGGAGGCTCAAGCTTCCTTCGCCAGCATCCATGTCTCCCAGTGGGGCTCTGTGCAACCAACCTCTGAACTGTCTAGAGTCAGGCTCAGCCCAACATGCAATGCATGGTACTGGGTAGCACACCGATTCGACGCTCATCTCTTCGAGAACCGGGCGTTTCATGAAGACAACCCTACTTTCAACTTCTGAACATACCGCCAAGCTTTGCCTGCACGCTAGACCTTCCCAAGACCAATAACACCAAGTTTGATAGAATGACAGAGGCCCTAGCACTGCGTCTGAGGGGCGGCCCCATGCCACTGATTCCTAAACAGTCTATGATCGACATCCTGTTCCAAGCAGCCGTTTTGATGGGTCAGAGAAGTTCAAGGGCCCTTGCCCCTTCAAGAATTTTTGCCGCAATCCCACTCTCTGGCAAGGCGCCCATCGGCAGTCTGAGCCACGGGAGGCTCCTTCGAAGTCAGGAAAAAGCGGAAGCAGGTGGATTTTGCATTCCAAGATATTGCAAATCCAAGCTTTGCAGATACTTCCACACAGCGTCCTCCGAGACACCTTCTTGCTCCAACCTCGGTGCGGCAATGCACGATCAGCGGATGCCAGGTCGGAGTCTCTGCCCACGACTTGTCTCATTGCCTCGTGCATGTCCAGGCGCACAATCGGGATTGCCGAAGTCGGAGCCGTGGCGGAGGACGAGCCGGAGATTTCCGAGGCTGAGATGCCCGCGGTGGGCTTCTCCGAACTGCAAAGTTTGCAAAGAGCTGCAATGACTTGATCCTATGCAAGAGGGGCCCCCCTCTCACCGTGAAGGAGCCTGGTAGACGAGTCGTTGGGCAATGTTTCGCAGGCCCCGCTCTTGATCTTGCCAGACTCCTCTTGCCAAGTACTACTCAACTTCGCGGGCGTCAACTAGGACCCGTTGGACTGACGAGTCCTTGCTTTTCGTACGGCCTCTCTTCGAATGCTCTTTTGAGCCTCCTTTTGAGCGACTTCGCGACTTGGATGGTGTTGACTTCGATCCCTGCATCGGAAAGTGCAGTGCTCTCGGCAAGCTACATTGACACAGTCAGTCAAAATCGCTTGCAACCAGGCAGCCAGTGTGCTGACCTCCACTTTGGATTCAGATCTCTCTTCAGGTACCCCTTCGGTCGTCATCTGCTTCCTGAGGCAGCTAATCTTGCTTTGTTGACACTCCCATCTATGCTGCATTTTGTTGGTGTTTCGATGCCGGAAAGAGCTTCTAGTCCTCTGGGGCAGTATGACCAGCTCCGCCGGTGGAAGGATGGGTCTCGGCACACTCCAGCTGGTGGTAGCCTGATTCGGACCATCAAGATGCTGAGAAACTGAGCAGATCCGCAGTGCCCACGGCGACCTCGATGCCTCTCACGCCAAGTAGCATTGAACCGGTACGGGGGCTTTTCAGGCATAAGCTCTGGATCAAGCGAATGCGGCTCAAGCTTGTTCATCAATAGCCCGAGCTTGGTCGCGTAGATAGACCTTTGGCAGCAAGACGTTCGGGAACACAGTCTTACAGGAACTTCCTCAAAAGTCACTGCGGTTCTATCGCTGAAGAACGGAAGGGGTAACTGGCACAAGATGCTGCAATCCTTCCCCAAAGTACGGAACCAGCAAAGGACGTCGTTGGCTATCGTTGGCTGACTGCAAACGCACCAACCCGATCCCGATTTCCAAAGGAACACAGACACTTCAAGCACCGACTTGGTGCCTTGCAAGCTATGCAAGCTGTTCCATCGTACACTTGGGCCACTTGACCGGCTACACATGCTTGTGGTACGGCTAGCGGGATATCGTCGCGAACAAGCTGCCACATCTCATCGAAGCGAGCCTCCATGTCCAGGGGCGCCGACCGAGCCTCGGCATATGATGGAAGCTTTGACTACATCGGAGCGGACTCTACAAAAAATCTAGATCAACGATGCAGCAGTGCATCCAGCGATGCATCCCGCAAATAGATGCCGAAGTTATTGACTTCCACCCAGTTGGTGCTCCAAAAGATTTTGCCAACAACATCTCGGTTGATTCGTGGCGTAACATTAAAACGGCTTATTGTTGCTCGACAGTCGGCGCGACCTTACCGACGGCATCCCGCTACTCTAGCAGTGAGCTCTCTCTCTGAAGACAGTCTGAGTCAAAGTAGCCACATGAGACTTCGCGGGCATGTTCGTCAGCCAGGGGCGATCGTAAGCCGCGTCGGCACGCACATCGTTCACGACTGTGTCCTTGTATTTTGGCAAACACTCCTTAGATTGGCTTGGCCATCAGTTGACAACGCTGAACCTAGCAGCTCGTCGCAACTATGCGTTGATTGAGCATGCTATTTCGGCTAGCCTTCAACTCGTGGCTCCATGTAGCCGTGCTTCTTCGTAGATCTCACGTCTGAAGTTCAACGTCCATGCCAAAACATCGTCGTAACCTGTTGACCAACCTCGGATGTGCTGATGCGTGTGGTGGCAGCCGTTACGATCTGGGTTCAGTTCTCCTCCAACCCATCAGCTGCAGCGGGGAATTCTGTAGTTATGGATACCCTGTCATCTGGTAGATGTCATACGAGGCATCAAACAAATTGATTGTCACTGGGGATATTTCGCTAGGGACCTTACTCAATGCATGGCAAGATGCTCCGCAGCGGACTCCGCAACCAATTTAGGAAGTTGAACTTACCTTGATGCGCTGTCTTTCTGCAGGTTTTACAGGATCGGGTGCTACCTTGATGTGTTCCCTTTCTTTTGCAGGGCTTAGGGGGTGAGCCTGTGTAAGATGTTGTAAAATGGTGCCAGGCCCTCCGTTCAAGGTCGGCTCGGAGGTACAGTAGCGAGTGTTTCGCTGCAGCACGTCTGGCTCAGTTCGCCCTAGAAGATCAAGGACATCACCGAATTCTTGCTTCATGAACCCGATGCCTGTCTTTCCTTCCTTCTCTGGGGAAGAAGTCTGACCATTGCCAGACCCGCGCCTTTCCTTCGTCTTCTGGAGCAGATTAGCGGAATGCGCGATGCCGTGCACTTCTGTGTCTTGGCCAGCGTGCGTTGGAAAAAGGCTACGTAAGACATGTTCCGCACCACCTGCAGCCTTCCCACGGTCGCGGTGTGTACAAGATCTTCGCTTCTTCCAGTGCATGATACATGTAGTCGCGATGGGCACGGACAATCACGAACACCGCCCGTGCTGCCAGGTTCCCACCGCAAGTCCGAGCCGGTGGCTGTGCTCCGTTGAGCCGACATGGTGGTTCCAAACAGTCCCTCCACCTACGCCCTTCTGTCTATCTCTTTCGTATTTCTATGTACTGCACGGAAGGCCGCTCTGCCGATGCCCAGTGTATCAATGTCAAGACCGAAAGTTGTGGTTGGTTGGTGTACTAAACGACCAAGGCTATTAAGGCTATTTGAGCTATTGCAGGAAAAGAGCACATCTCGGCAGGCTCCAAGCCCAGCAGCGAGTTTCTACTCTCGCGGGGTCGCAGAGGGACAGGATCTGGCCGGCTGTTGTGCCCAGCTGGGTCGAACTCCTCGGGCCATTCAGCGAACAAGCTTCCCGAATGCTTGCCCACCAAACTACTCCAAAAAGTTTCAAGAAAGAGGCTGCAGCAACGATGTATGTCTCAAAGGTCACGCAGTCCGGGGGTACCAAAATATGTACACCTCAGAGCGGTGGGTGTCCCAACCCAGAAAATCTTGCTTTTACTGAAAACGTCGTGTGTGCTGGCCCAAGGCACGGCGAAATCCTGGCCGAAGTTGCTTCGTCAGAAACGGCAGCACAGGATGAGTGGGAAGGCCGCACCAGCTTGCAACCTGGGACGGGTCATGTAGGCATCGCAAAAAGGGGCAAGAAGCTACAGCTACTGTTCTTGCCACATGTGTGCTGTAAACTGTAACCCCATGGCATGCTCCGGCGATTTCGTGACGCAAGTTCTGGCCGTCGGCTAGATTCCAATTCTCGGAAATCGTCTCTTGCACCCTGGGCCCATCATATCTGTACCATAAACCGCTCAAAGATAGTGCTTGGTGCATGGGCGCGCTTTCACAAGTTCGCTCTGCTGCCCTCGGGTGGACAAGAGCACCCTGGCACGCAGTTCAGGGTTTCTTCTGAACCGCAAGCCTCCTTTTATCTTCTGAACTGCATGAACAAGTAACTTAGGGTTTCTAGCTGCCCGCGCAGCGACCTGGAGAATCTTACAAAAACAAAATGTCCCGCCATTTCTTCCATCGCTGTGCTCACTTCTTGGACATGAACATGGCCGCCTGCAATCTGGCCGCGGCCTTCTTCACCTTCTGGGTGGCCTCGAGCTTCTCCGTTTTGGCTTCGGCTTTCTCGAGCATCTCAGTGGCGCTTTCCATCTCAGACTTGGCTTCGTTCATGTCGATGTTGCTGGCCTCCTCATAGTCGTTGCAAAGAACCGACAAGGAATTGGAGTCCACACTCGCGAAGCCACCCATGACCACAATTGGGGTCCACTTTCCATCCTGCTTGTAGCGCAGCACGCCCACGTCGAGGGCAGACATCATCGGAGCATGGTTGGCCAGGATGCCCAACTGACCGCTGGCACTGGGCAGGATCACCTCTGAGCAGGCCTCCATGACCGCGTCACCCTCAGCCGATTGGATCTTCAGCCGGAGTCGGTCGCCCTCTGCGACAGGCTTCTCTTCGACCACCTCAGTCTCAGCCTCTGCTCGCATCGCCACCGAGGAGGATCCCGTAACGGGCCGGGAGCCAACAAAGGTCATCTGGGCCAACTGCCGGACCAGAAGTGTGCAGGCCGCGAAGGAGACCAGCATGGCAACAGAGGAGCGGGCCATGGCGATGAGAGAAAGAAGGCAGGAGAAAAGGACTCTGAAAGCTGACGGCCTGGACAAGCCGCTGACGTGTTCTCTACCTATATCTCTACATTACAGACTCTACATGACAGAATCTGACATGCACAGCAAGGCAAAAAGCTCACCGAGGGCCAAACCAAAACACCGCCCGTCTGGAGGTTGCGGAGCGCTTCGGCCAAGGCTCCCTGGATTGTGTGAAGCCGCCTGGAACAGTGCTCTGCAGGAGGATGTGCAGTTGTGCTGTTACTTGTGCTGCAAAACTGATGAAGACAATTCCTCCTCAACACACTGACAGAAGGCACGAAGACTACTGCACACGTCGTCTCGTTCTCCCCCCTTTCTTGATAGCGAAACCCGAATAACCAATTTGATCTGGCTTGTGCCGTGCTCAGGTAAAGGACCGGGCACTCAAATGGACTTTGCATAACTGACTGGCACCATTGATTACATGAATTGGTTGCAGGTCAACCCAACTATCTGCAGTTGCAGCAGACAATCCAAGTAGGCTTGAAACCAGGCAAAACGACGAACGTCAGCCAGTCCTGCGCACATCATCGCTGCGCGATACGCCAATCTTCCCGAAGCCGCTAGCTTTGAGCGGCAATCCGCAAAGGCGAGGTGCCGGACCCGCTCCAGGTGCCCAGGTGACCTGTTGCTCTGCGGAATCCTGCAGCCTCAGACAGTCTCTATCTATCGCCTCTGCTTGTTGACCGCATGCTGTGGGCACACGCGCTGACGCATCAAGTTCGGCATGTTGTACTTATCTTTCGCCCCGGTTGCATCTAGTTGTGCGGCTTTTCGGCCAAAGCACAGGCCAAGCGTCACATCACGTACCAAATCATCGAGTTCTGCGTCCTCGTCAGTGGCGGAGTCACGAGAAATAGCGAGAGTACTCCTTCGTGTCGGTACACAGTACCCGTTTCCCCTAAATTTCTAGCTCGTTGCTACTTCTGGGCGAGGATGCGTCATGCTGATAGCAATCTGTGACAAGCTTCGCTGCCGATTCTGAATCCTTTCTCTTCCAGAACTTCGACTGCAGCGTCAGCATCATTCTCGGAGAGATCGCCCCTTGGATTCGACAAGCCCACCTGCAATCACTTGATTCTTATGATATAGAATCATAGAGCTGAATCAAGTGGAGCAGCACGTTTCCAAACAGGCCTCCGCGCCCTCTTGTGGAGCGTCACAGGGGAAGGTGAGGTCTAGAACCGCAAGCCTCAAGTTAGGATACAAGAAGTACAATACATCCATAGTAACCACAATTGCTCAGCTGGCTTGAGCCGTGATGAGTCACAGAAACTGATCTGAGGCTCACGCTGATACCCATCCGGACCATCTGCTTCTCCAGCTGGCAGGTTTGCCAACAACGGGAGAAAAGGATCGGACAGGGTTACGGGTTTGAAGGCATGCAATGCGAGCCTTGCGAACACCAAACACGTGCAAGTCATCACACAGTACGATGGCATACGATAGCACGATACCCCGACACTGTGCTGCGACACCAATATTTAGCTCCTACCTCTTCAGTTCTATCCATGGCACTACCACTGGTCTCGCTACAGATGCTTGCGCCTTGTTTGTCAAAGGGCTTGGGCAAGACTGGAGGAGCACGATGCATGCTCCAGCCTGGTTGCCCGAGGGACGGAATTTGTGGACATGTGAACAGTCACTTCCGACCTCGGCGTTGAAAATACGCCATCATCTGCTCGCTGGGGTCCCTCAAGCCTTGAAGAGGTTGCACGATCTCCGATACAAATTGTGATGAAGTTGAGCTACTTGAGACCATGTCAACACCATCCATCTCTGGGGCAACCCTCTGAGCTTTTTCCGCGGGAGCTTGTGCGGACTAGTGCAACCCAGGTCAGAAATAAGTACTCGTACTTCGGGCGTCCTGGCCATCAAAACTCCGATGTGACTCCTCACTGCTGTGTCCTGGAGTCTGTGATATGGGCCGGATTTGTCAGGCCAAATTGTCGTTTGGACTTGGCCTCTTCTACAAGGAACAGGCATGCGACGGCTGTATCGCATGCAAACATCTGGCACCGGCGCCGATAAAACTAAATCCGAGCCTTTTTGGCTGCGGGCTGTTCACCTTCCTCGACATCATCATCACCTTCATTGGCTTCCTCATTCACCTGACATCGCAAACGCGCAGGACTAGCTCTTCGCGAGTACACCAGTAGCTTGGATACCAAGGCGTCCATAAAAACAAAAGCTCCCTGAGGCTGGCACTTCTTGATCCTCCTCAAGCACTTCCTCCTCCAAGTCCTCCTCACAACCTGCCCAAAGTCGTCTCCACCTCAGTTGCGTTTCAGGGAAACAACTTGCTTTCTTCGTAAGCCAAGAGTGCCACAAGGCTTACAACCCTTCAGCTTTTCCTTGCCCAACTGAAATCAGCCAAGGGCACTCAGCGACTGACATCGGCTGAGCTCTCATGTCCGGATCCTCACTGTTCCGATTGGCGAGGGAGGCCTGCTGCGCCTCGACGAAAACCTTTCTGCGGCATCACATAAGAGGAGAATAGAGAAGATATCCGTATCTTGAAACGCAACATCGGCGAATTGTTCAAAAGGGGCTGGGTCTTCCTGGTCTCCGTTGAATTGCCGGGAGCTGCAGCAGCTCGTCTCTTCGGTGCAGCCGTGAAGCTTCACCGGCTTTCTTTGAGCCTAACTTCTCAATGATGAGGTCTACATTCAATCTGTCGAACTGATCAAACAGCTCCTGCAACTGGCGATTCTGCTCGTGCCCATGCTTTTGCTAAGCTGTACTGAACGTCCACAAGTCTCGGCTGTGTCACATCAAGCAAGGGCGCTGTCCTGTGTGTCCTCCTCCTCTGCTGGAAAATGCTTGTCCAGCACACCTCAATTGATAAGACGTGCTCAAGGTGGCAAAGGACCATTACAAATCCTTCTTGGACCTAGAGCATAGTCAGCTAGGCCCGAGCAAAATCTGCCTGTTATTTGCGCTGCGAGGTTCAGGCGTGATTCTGTTCAGCCGAGAATCTCAGATCGACCGGAATCAGCATTTGATCTTCCTTGCCCGAATTGTCGACATGCATCATGCTTAGGCACCGGGTACACAAAAAAGAGTGGGAACACCTGTGAACCGACGCTTCGGGACTTCGGGCACCTGCTTTGCGAACGCTTGGACACAGCTCTAAGTTACACCACTTTAGACCAGCACTGATGACCCAAGGTCAAGCCAACCGGCCCAGAAATTGATGCATCAATGTTGCTATGGTTGCCCTGATTTTTTGTTCTTGCCGTCGGTTTTGTTGTTCTTGTTTGGTGCTACTCCTGATTGATTCGGCGCAGTGCTAGCGTTGTGTGGATTTGGAAAAAACTGCCGACGAGACTCCTCGTGGTCGCCTGGAAACGAGAAGGAACGAAGAACTTCCGGTGGTATCTCCTCTTCGTTCTTCAGCTTCATCTTGACGACCTAGCTGCTCAGCGACACAGCAAGCTTTGCATCTTGATCCGCACTGCAAACGGCGTCTGCAGAACAGAGGGCCTGACGAGCAAGGCCTTCTGGGAGACATAGAAAACGCTCTCAACAGCCTCTGCAGCTGGCGGCTCCATGTCGGGACCTCATGCACAGCTGGCGTCAGATCCGGTACGCCTTTCGGGCGGGAGCGTCGTTAATCAAACGTGTTGAAACTGGCCCAAGCGCAAACACGAGCAAAGAAGAGTCCAAGCTAGATTGCTCATTCATTCAGCATTCATTGACCATGTTCATCGGCCTTGTAAGCATAGCCTATAAACGCTAGAGTCCTATAGAGTCGCAAATGCGTGCTGTGTCCCTCTGCTTGAGACATGCAGCCGGAAGTGCTGCCGCGCCGTCGAACGCAAGCGCCCAGGGTGAAAGGACTACTGTATCAGCTCGTCTGTTGCGTGGACATGCTTCAACTGCTACAGTGCTGTCTTGCTACGACGAGACTTCGAGTGGTTCTGCGCTGGATGTGCAGCTGGTTGCATCTGCAGCAGCCCAGCTTCGACCCTTTCGTCTCTGTACCACTCAACCGAAATGTATGGTGCATGTGTCACTGCTGCACGATGCTCGTACTGGTCGACCGAAACAATCAAAGGCCGGCACCATCGAGGAAGCTGCGCCGTTTGAACCGAAATGTTTACAGAGCTTCGCTTGTGGGCTTGTGGGTTCCTTCTTGGACGGCTTGACCAACTCAGGCCGCGGCCAATGTACAAATACTCGCGAACAATGGCCTAGCCATGAAATCGCTCGAAGGCTCCAGCTTCAAGCAAACAGAGTGTTTTGGCTGGCAACTCCTGCCTGCCGGGAAACATTGCTAAAGCTGCGCCTGGGTGAGATAGCATGCTGGTTCCACGCCGATACACTGACGAATACGCTTTCGGCTCTGAGGATCGGATGAGAAAATGAGAAGCTACAGAACGAGACATCGCGAAAAACATTCCCTTTTATGGTGGTTTTTCGCAAGTCATTGAACTCAGCGATGCACTCTGCCTCTGTCCAACCATGTAACCGGATCCTTGGGCCTAGACGCGGGATCTTCCATCAGCCGTTTCCAGTGCGGCCTCGGCAGTCGCTCTGACAAAAGCGCACGCCTGGACCCCCCCCCTCACCCTCTGCCACATTTTCACCTGTAAACAGCTCTGTGGCTGAGTCGGGCTCTCTGCATCCGCCACCAGGCGCGAGAACACGTGCAAATCCTGCATGTTTCACCCTGAGTCTGATGTGGATCAGAAAATGGGACATGTTCACTCTGATACGGTGCGGGCCTGGCGATGAGTGGCGTCAAAAGGCATCCTCGACATGGGTCGACCACTTTTGCGAGGAAGATCTGTGACTATCTGCTTGAGAGGCATGGGGTTGTTTCTCTGGGCTAGGTGACTCTGCAACGAGTGCCATCAACTGCCGAACTTCTTTCTGTCAAGCTCAAGATGCTTCACCAACACTTCAACAGAAGCTCGATGGGCGCTCACCTTCTGAACTGCTCCCACTCTTCGTCGTCCAGCCGTTTGGCAGCCTGGTGTTGATTCGGGTTGCGATCCGTCTACAAGTATCAGGTGGTACTCAGACACAAGAGTGATGAACAAGTCCTGCAGCCCCAAAGCTAGCCTCCGCAATGACGGTCCGGAATCGCTCCAGCCCCCCAGATCGCTGGCCCAAAGCCTTCCCCGGAAATCTCTGGGCTGCATGTTCAATGGCTCTGTATCTTCTTGCTTACAAGTTCCACCTATCCGCTACACGCAGGTGGTCATCTGTCTCTATCAGCACCATGCCTGATAAAATTCATCCAGTAGAGACGAAGCGTCAAGCAGCCAGTCTGGGATCCTGGCACTCTCAAAGCACGCAGTATCAGCATATTAAACTGAAGGCCATCTTGCCAGGCGGACCCATCCACTGCGCCTGCCTGCGAAAGACGCACCTATCCAGGAGCACAAAGGGGCTGGACATCGAGCTCAACATCCAGAAGTAGCTAGTGCTTTCGTCTGCACCCTTTGATTGGTTGCCAAACCACTATCAGTTCAGGTGGCTGCAGTACTTGTGATGGGATGTGACACCGGTTCGCGAAGGTCCTTGAGGGCTTTGTTTGCTGCTGCTGAGGTGCCTCCTGCCGCTTCTCGCAGAATGCTTCCAGCTGTTTCTTCCCTCAGCCATGAGTCAGCATCCGTCCGCAGCCTAATCACCTACATGCTTAGTTCGCGCAGTCTCCGCTCACATAACCGCAACTTCTCAGGAAATTTCAGCCAAAGTCATTGTAGTCTGGCTCGTCTACTCACTTAGAGCCCGGCGAAGCTCTCTGGCCTCCACCTGTGATTCGAAGCACGATCAACCCCAAGCCACGCGAACACACCATCCCTTCACACTCTACCGGCCTAGGCCATCAACTTTCACAAGCTGCCCCACGCACATCGTCAACACTCTGGGACAGTCACTGAGGCATCACGAGCCCAGCATCGTGGCAAGAACACACCAGAAATGGTACCCCAACACATCAACAGCCCTTTAGCTCTGCAAGAGTAGGCTGTCCTGCGAATCTACACCCACGGCTACTTCGTTCGAAATCGTGAATCACAGTGACATTCCTGCATATGCGGGCAAATTCGAGCAAGTGCTTTACAGGCTTCTTGCCAAGAAGCCTCCTTTCGGGAGACGACTGAGAACAGCGACTCCCCAGCTACTGGCAGTGATTCTTCTTCAGCTTCTGCTGCACCTGGCAGCAGTGCAAAAAAGGTTCTGGATTTTATGGGCACGGATGGTATCTGAGCTTTCGCTGTTGCCGCGTGACCGTAGAATAGGACTTTACTAACGGTCTGTCAGGCTGCTTCTGCCTGAAGCAGGTAGAGTCATCTAATCTCTTGGTAGACTGTTTCAAGCCTTCTTCGACAAAGGTGGCATGGATCCCCAGCGAGGGCTCCAGCGGTGTCATGCCTCGGATCGACTGGAGTTGCTACAAGCACCATATCCGTTTACATTTCTGAAGACCCTGGCTTTGGAAAAGGAATGATGTGCCTAGGTCCACTTCTAGCCCGTGACGTGGTGTGCAGGTCGGCGCCGGGGATCCAGGGCGGATTCAGGAATGTTGGCGGTGGCTGCTCCGGCACATGGCAGCACCTGGCTAAGCAGGATGGATTGGTGCAACAATACTGCTCAAAGGCTTGCACTGCGCGATCTCACCTTGTTGCACCTCTTGTGTGGCCACCATTGCTCTCGTGACCGAGGCTACATGCATTGTGGACAAAAATCGTGCATTCCGTAGATTCTCCACTTCCGCAGCTGATTTTGGGCTACAGCTCGTGCTTGTTGTGACTCTAGCTTACACATCTTATCTTCTGCTACTGCACCGTAAACCTTGAAGCCTCCACTGCCGCCAAAGTAGACTCAACTAGACCCGAAAGCACCGAGAGCGTTCTTCATTTTGTGTGTGCGGTGGCTTCAAGCTCGGAAGGGTGACATCTTCATCCAAACTTCACACCGCACCGCTCCGCCCCCCCCCCCCTCCCCGCCCACCCCCGCAGTCCCCGTAACACTTACCACATGCCACCAGCAAAATATGCAACTTACGACTTGTTGCCTAGCATTCACTTCCTCTTGGACTGTGGGTCTTTGGCCAGTTCGCCCGGAAGTATCGCGAAAGACGTCAGTGTTGAGATGCGCTGCGACCAAACAAGCTGCTGGCCGAAGAGAACATTGGTGCCAGGTCCTCAAAACTGGTGTTTCGGCGGCACCGCCTAAACAATTCATTGACTGTGCCGAGGCACATCGGGTAAGCCCTGTGGCGGTCGAAATGAATCCCATCTGTTTTATCGCGAAAAAACAGCTGCTTCCATTTTTTCCATTCTTGATCTAATCCGAAACCGCAGCCGGTGCGCTCCAGCTGCTCTACGGCCTACTTTGGCTCATTGGCCAGAAGACGAAGTCGCCTTCGCTTGGGAGGCTGAGTCTCCCCTTCTCGAGCCTTCGCCTCTTCCTGGGCTTGTGAGGGGGCGGTGGCCGACTGCTTCGACAGGGCCACGTCCGCTGATTCTCCGACTTCGGCCACTGCAGTCACCTCTGCTCGAAGGGCTTCCTCAGCCTTGGTTGCAGACTTGTCTTTGCGGTGCCCGGACATAACGGAATAGTCCCGCGAGGCCTCTTCCGCGGTTGGACGCAGTGGCCCAAGAACACGCTTCATTCCAGGGCTTTCGAGACAAGCAATGTACCATCGCTTTCCACGCACGATCTGCGGCCGAACACCTTGTGCAGGAGACATCTCCACAGGCGTGCTCAGCTGCCATGTCGCAATTAGTTTGTTGACTGCATCGCTCCATCTGCTCCTGTATTTTTCTGCTTCTGCCTCAAGCTCCGCATGGGTCTTGACCAGCTCTTGCTTGCCGGGGCAGTCGCGACGAAACTCGGATATCTTCTTCTGCAAATCTTGCATGTCCTCCAAGCAGTCCTGCAGCGGCTTGCTGAACTGAACGGCTAATCGCGTCAGCTTGGCACGCTGTTCGCGAGTCAGTGCTGAAGTTGCAGCTTCTCGTGGCCAGAGCGCAGCATCACTTCGGTATCGAACTGCCACCTGTCGAGCAGTTGTCTTGACGGAGCCACTTGTTGCCGCAGCAGTCTGGCTTCTTACCGGTCTTACCGGTGCAGAGGAGGAGGAGGAAGAGGAGGAGGACGAGGATTCCTTTTGTTCGGGTTCCGGTGCCTTGGATTGCTGCGGCTTCGCAAGGACCTTCGCCTTGGCTTTCGGTGCCAAGCGGGCTTGGCCTTGCAGAGTTGGAGCCGTCGCCGGAGCAGTGGCCAGTGTGGTCAAGGGTACATCATCAGAGTCTGAGGATGTAGAGCTGGAGCTGCTGTCACTGTCAGAACTACTGTCGCTGTCGGCGTCTGTCGGCGTCGCTTTCGTTGGAGTTTGGGAGGCTTTCGGAGCAGCTGCCGGTAGGGAAGACAACGGCATATCATCCTCCAAGTCCAAGAGTTTCTCTGCCAGATCGCTCTTGGAGACCATGCCTTGTGGCCGGGCAGGCACAGACACAGATGGAAGGGCCAAGCCTGCCAGAAGAGTATCGTCATCCACCGCAAGAGGCTTCAAGGGCCAGGTCGGGGACTTTCCTGTCAAGTACGACAAATGTGCCTGATCGATTTCTTGCTCATCCAGTCCCTTTGCTTTCAAGAACCTCTTCTGCTTCTCCCAGTCGCTTGATTGCACCGCAGGGTGGGCAAGGAAACTTGCTGCGAGCTCAATCTTTCTTTGCCGGGATGATCCCTCCATTTCAGAGACTTGACAGGTGGCATGGTGCGCCGCGGGCCATTAGCACGCACGACCTTGCAACCGTAGCAATTTCAGTTTTAACTGCGAGCTGCCGTGTTGGTGGGACTGAGTAGTATACCTCGGGAGGTGTGTGCCGTTCTTTTGCGATGCTTGTGCTGCGCCCTACTGTGGTGCTACAGTGCTACTGCTGCAGCCGTGAAAAAAGCAGCACCTGTACTCAACGACAAGCTTTTCATGCCGTTAATCCGCGGGCATTGACCCAGACTCTACAGCAAACCACACGGGGTGTCGCCGAATTCCTCCACTCTCAACCCTGTCGCTTCAGAAGAGCTGGTCGGAGTGTTTAACTGTTCAGGCCTGTTGCTCACGTTTAATGAGCCCAAACTGTTCGATTGCCTTCCCGGGTCCACTGAGCTGCTGAAACAACACTGATGCTTCACTGTCTGGCTGCGTGCGAACTTACATAGCATTCTCCGAGCCACGGATTTCTAGCAGTGTGTGTGTGTGTGCAGAATGAGCTGGACAGAGAGACTGATGTCGAACACAACGCGTATTTTCTTTCCGCTGTCTTCTTCAGCTGTATTGGAAAATCCAGGCATCCATGGTTTCAGCCGCCTGTCTTTAATATCAGGAGGTCCGGGATCTTGGACCAACCGTTCATTAGAGGATTCGTTCCTCAGGCTCCCTAGTACTCTGGCCGAATCGCCATGCCCAACATGTTCCAGTGGGAGCAACGTTGTTATCGCGTTATGGCTGCATCTTGCAGACCTGATCATCCTCTCATGCATCTTTGCCAACGACCTTGGAAACCCATCACGGGCTACTGGGATGCGTCTGCATGATGGTACATCGCACTCGGGACATGACGCCCAGCTTTTCAAGGCCCGCGGTATGCTGAGGGCAAGGATCTGGCCTGCCAGCTGCCTGCCAAAAAGGGGAGACAGGACAACGAGGAAGTGGTGCAAGACGTGTGCAAGGTGGGCAGGAAGGCAAGTGAAAGCTGTCTCTCCTCAGGCTTTCCAGCCGGACACGAGGAACACGTAACTTTCAGACAGGCACAGAAAGGCACGAGAACTGTCTTTCGCTTCAAGTCAGGTCGAGAGGTTCACCGTCATCCCTAACTCCAAACTAACGCTCCTTCACCTGCATAGCGCGGCGCTTGATGCACTCCCTCCATGTGATACATGTCTTTTTGGAAAGCAAGTCTTCAAGATAAAGATGCTCGCGCCCTGGCACTTACTCACGCTTCAAAACTTTAAAAGGTGACGCGGGATCCCTACATGCCACTGTAGCGTGAAAGGCTCCCGAGCCTTGGCCTGCAGGGAAATATCCTGATCACAGCTGCGCAAAGACTGCCAGGGATGCCGGGAGCGTGCAAAGTTCAATACGAAAAGAGTGTCCAAAGCAGCGGATCTCTTCAGCTCCTTTCGAATCATACTCGCCGAAGCGCTGAGGCAGGTACGTAGAAGGGCCCGTTTCGCCACTCAAATTCTTTCACAGCTGTGGGAAAGTGTGCCACCTGAGAGCTTCCGAGCCCATGGACTTAGAGAATGGACCCAGCCGTGCGAAGCGTTTGTGCATGACAACTGAACCATCTGGGGCCAGGGCACTCCGTGCATATGCTGCCAAGCGGTCACAAAGCAACAACTTGTCCTTCGTCCCAGCATGACATGGTAAGTTCGGCACCGACTGGCAGGAAGCTTACAGTTGCATGGCTAATTACAACGACTCTTACCGACACTCGGCAAAGACAGCAACTTTACTTCCTTAGTTCTTGCACAATTTCCATTTTGACATCTTCAGCCAGCGGCTTCCGTTGAGCTTAGGCAGCGGCCCACCGCACATCTGCGTTCGCCGCGGCCACTCCCTCTCGTGCGGAAGTCAGAGGACTGAGTCTTGTGGAGTTAGGTTTGTGAGACAACACTAGATTCTTGCGGGTCAGCCAACCCTGCACAGAGAAGACCGAAGGGTCAATCATGGTGAATCTATACATACAGCGCCCGGGTCCAGGGTCCAGACGGTGGCCAGCTGAGCTATGAGCTCATCCACCTGCGCCCGGGAGCGGACACGACACGCTTGTCGACCTGTCGACCTCCTGAAGCCCATGACAGCAAATGGGCGCCTCCTTGCGATGCTTGGCTTCGACATCGCCCACAGTGCAGCCGTCGTGGAGCGCCCCGACGAGCATGTAAGCTGCAATCCATAAGTTTTTTTCCCAGTAGGCCTGGAAGGCAAAAAGCAGGACTAGCACTACGTTCACTGCATGCGGCTGGTGCAGAGGGCCAATCTCATACACCTGTGCAAATAGCTCTTTCACGCCACAAGGCTTTGTGGTTCCTAAGTGTTATCGTGTGTCCGAGGTCGGGATGGATCACGAGGGACACCTGCAATAGCACCCAACATCCTTGGAATCTTTCGGCAGGGGTCTGAATGACAGTATTAACCCTGGCACATGTAGTCCCTTTAGCACGCCCGGCCTGCATAAACTCTGGGTCTCGCAACATCCGGCACGCCTCAACATTTGTCGGATTTACATTCCGGCGTTGTGTGCTTGCTGGAATCAGAGAAAGGTAGCGGTCTTGAGCCGCTGGCGAGGTTGCTGGTTGTCAGCCTCCAGCGCACTTCTTGTGCCCACTTCCTTTGGAAGTTGGATTGGTCAGCAAATGGATTGATTTTCGAAGCTGAAACACCACCCTTATAGAGATATGGGGTGATTCCGGAAATGCCGGCTTTGCAAGTGCAGCTCTTCCAGGGGTCCGGCCCAGTGTTCACGGCTGTCAAGCCTTCCGGGTCCGTGTCGGTCCTCGGCATGCACAAGGCAATTGAAGAAAGGAGCTCTGATTTCTTCACCGCTCCGCCGCCGCTCAGCCTGAGACTTTCCATCCAGTGGAGGTTCCCCCTTCTTGGCCACAGCGAAGTACACCAGGAGGATCGTGACCTGGGTGCAAGGCTGTGTTTGGGTCACATGCCCGCACGAACAGAGGGGGACATGTATCTGTGCAAACTAGCATTTATACAGGTATAAACATTTATGGGGAAAGAATACAAAGTAGTGTAGTATAATATATGACAACCTAACCATCGACAATACAGTTTTGAACACATTGCATCAAGATAAAGTACAGCATAGTAGAGTAGAGTAGACTAGAGTAGACATTACTAGGGTAGGTTACATTATATCACACCATAGTGTATTGCATGATATGATATGATATGATGTGGCGTCATGCATACATACATACACACATACATACATACATACATAAATACAAAAATAAATATAAATAAATAAATAAATATATATATATATACTTTTGTACACATACACATGTAATACAAATTACATGCCCTTGGCTACGTTATGTGACATGAAACGTATCTTGCACGACATTGTTTATGACAGTACGTTATAATATGCTTTGGCATGTTGAAGCATACTATATTGCATTATAATTGCAATGATGTTTCATGATATTGTCTTGTATTCTATGAAAGTACACTACATACTAAAGTGTATTGTGCCATATTCTACTACATTGCATTATTACCTTGACTTTATGGGGCCTCATCGATTCTCCTATCTTACTTTTGAGCGTATGCAAACACATTCACTTAATTATGCATGACACATTTACCTAACACCGCCTCTCTTTTTCTCTCGCGATACTGGCCTATCGTCTCACCCGCCCACACAAGCCTTCTACGAATAGAATTGATCAGTTGCTTCTCTCCATCAAGGCCGCAGCAGGCAAGCCTGGATGGAGATTCTTGTCCAGAAAAGGCCTGAGTGACAAGATTATGGCTCACCTGCAACTTCTACTGCAGAGTGCAACCTACGCATAATACTCAAAGAGGGCCCGGGAGCATGCTGAGGTCATGGCACGAGCGCACCATTCTGAACGAAAACCAAGTCTTCATGACGATCTGCTGGCACAGATGCGATGATGTCCTGCTTTGCAACTCGGTGCCCTATGGTTGCTGTGAATTCTTTGTTGCTGATAAAATACCTATGCCTATGCAGAATACAAGCAGCCAGCCTTCAGAGCATCATTTCGTGTGCAGACGTAGATGGGGCCCTTGCACATCGCATGGTATGCAATCCGCTGCTCTATACGTAGGCACGTGAAACCATGGTGTGGTGAGTTGCAAGTTTTGCTGACCTGAAAGCATACATGGCGCGCACTCTCATGCTGAGTTGCCCCATGCCCGTGAACAACGCTCTGTGATGAGGCCTTTGGGGCATCTGTTGGAAATGCGTCTCCGCGACGCACGATGACGTCGCTGCCTGGCGGACTGCCACAGATCGAATGTCCATGGCTCGTCGACTGCGGGCTGTAAAGTCGCTGAGTCGCTGAGAAGCTCAAAACAAGCAAGGCACGCCCATGCCCATCTTGGCGAAAGCTTCCTGTCAGTGACAGAGCCATTGTATAGCTCACATCAGCTCACAGCCTTCGCCTTCCTCCTTGCCAGCTGGGCTCCCAGCACCTAGCCGCCCTCCCCCGATGATGATCGCCTCTGGGTGAAAAAGCTTGTCGGGGATAACATGGCCTTCATGCCCCGCTGTGCTGAAGCGTAACCTTCCGATCGAATGTATCAGTGTGCCTACGGCCGATGGTAATGCTGATTTTTAGTCAAGCTCGGCTGTAGGCGAGTGGCGAACCCAAGACGTCCTACGTCTATTGGACTAGCGGACTAGCGTTGACTACCCGTAATTCCTCTGTCATTCCTGCCCTTCCCCGGGCTCCCAGCCGGTGGAAATTCTTCCGGAAGCGGCGACCTGACGTTCAGACTCAGTGCAGCATCACTCGCTCGTTGTGCACCATCGAACGCCGCTTCACCATTCTCATCGCGGTTCCTCGAGGCCGTTCCGTCACGAATCACAAAGGCCTGGATTGGACCACCTTCAGGTGGTTGAGGGCCGTGGAGCCATTCTCGCTATGATCGCTATGGGTCTACGGCTTGGCTTCGACCAAAGCCTCGACACGGGAGCCCAGCTCTTCGCCTGGCATCATCCAGAGACGAGGCACGCAGCCTCCAAGGTGCGCTCCACCGTGGTTGGGTTGTTGGAGGCCTGGTGAGCTTTCTTTGTGCCGTGTCGCACATCCGGCGCACAAAGCTCATGCTTGCGACATGTCCTGGCTCGCCTCGACAGGAAGCTCTCTGCATGGACGGTCGAATACTCCATTAGCTTGGCGAAATTTCGGAGCTTCGCCATGCGACGCTTGTGCCGGCCGACGAGATGTATTATGATGATGCGTCAAGGAGAGAGAGCCTGATATTGACGGGGAGCGTGTTGTCCACATCGAAGGAAGCAGCTACATCTCCCGTCACAGGTTTTGCAGGGCCGGGCCGGGACCGCAGCCATCGAGAAGTCTGCTGCAGCTGTGTTGTTCATCCACCCGAGTTGCTGTTTCCAGGGCACTGCTTAAATACGGCTCTTGAGCCGTAGCCTTTTGAGGGCGAGGTCATACTCATGAGCCTCCAAAGCTGCTGCTTCCATGTGCAGCAGGTACATGCCAACATGCACTACCAGCTGCGAATTTCTGTGACTGGGCTCCTGGCGGAGCAGGGACTTCCTCACCTGCAAAATCGGGCGGAGGCAGCGCGTGTGGATCCGAGTTAGTATGAACCTCTTGGCATTGCTTGCGCTTTGAAATGGCCGGGCTTCTTCATGCTCACCCTGCCGATGACGTCCTACACGTGCTCCTGCCCGTACCTTCGTGGACTACCTTTGCAGCTTTACTTCACGACCTCTAGCAATTTGAGAAGCGAGTGCTTCTTGTTTGGGACTTCTGTTGCCCAAGGGGTTTTGAGTGGATACTGGCGGCCTTCTGCAGCACGGGCCACACGTCCACGAAAAGCTAGAGCTGCCACGCCAGCAGCCAGACCCTGCCACATATGGGATCGAGTGGAGCACTGGTAGCTATAACACTTTCATCATGAGTTGAAGCTTATCCCAAACGTTGTAGCACCTGAGCAAAACACCGACCAGGCCCTTTGTTTTCCATGTGTCGCTGCCGGGGCATCCTGGCACAAAACTCACGGACGGCCTGCCTACAAGAAAACTCCTGAGCACTTAGCAGCATGCTCGGCATCGATATAATTAATGCATGTTAGGTGCAATCAGGGCCAACATTCAACATGCTTCCTGCACGTGCCTGCTCACATTCTCGACAACAGCGAGGCGGGTGTGTACTCGAGGGGCCTGGGCCCGCACGAGGGATTTGCTGGTTCCGAAGGATCTGGTGGAGCTAGTGAGCCTCGACAAGCTCGGGCTCTCACATGCAAGGCACTTATGGCAGGTGTCAGGCCACCGTGTATCCTCAATGCCATCGCCTCTTTGCTGTCAAAGACTATAGTGGCTCACGGCAAGATTCATGGCGGATGCGGGCGCCTCGGTCGAGCAGCAAGTAGTTTGGGTTGACGTCCAATGACTACTAAAAGAGCCGAAAGGAAAGGTTCGAAGTCAAGGGCGGTAAGCTATCTCGAATGCAGCTGTCGGAACAAGTTGGAACAGGATTTTGGGTTGACCTGGCAGATCGATGAAAATCGTGGGGCATGCGAGTTGCGAATGGCATTGGTGCAAAGATCAAGACGCTATAGACAGCACGCCATGCGCACAGCTTCCTCTCCGTACACTGAAGTTGCTTGTCGACGGCTCTTGTTCGCCCGCGGCTAGTTCGTGCTTCACAACAGTCGGTGACACCATGGGGAGTGACAACTGGCACATTTCATGGAGGCGAAGACTGAATCAGCCCTTTCGCGCGCAACACTGCCACTCGTCTCAGGTCAGACCTTCGATGCGTGAGGAATAGGTCCGGACATGGCATGACACGAACAACATGTGCTGTACCATCTTCAAAGCGCCCATTCGCAAGGTATCGTTCCTTCAACTGTCATCCCTCAGCTGCAGCATGGCCCTGTGGCTTCCAGGGTCCAGACAAGCAAGCTCAGGATGCTCCTGGCATGTTTGTGAGATTCGTGTGGCGCATCCTCCCTACTAGTAACTAGTAGTGTTGCGTGATTCTCTTGTGGCGGGTCTGGTGGTGCTTGCCTGATTGGTAAGAAGGACATAAGCTGATAATCTGATAAACCCAACGATGACGTTGGCGGACAGAGTGGGGGGTTGCTGGCTCGGATCCTTGTCACCTTTGACTTTCCTTTGCGGATCGTGCATCCACCAGGCCTGCAACCCCTTGCTCCTGACTATGACTTTGCCGAAGCGAAATGCAGGAGGCTGGAGCGCGCAGTTTCGATGATCTCCCTTCGGGAGGATGCCCCAATTAGGCAAATCTCGACAAACGAAAAGCAGTTTCGCTCCATTCTGTGCAGGAATATTGGCTCGCCTTTGTTAAGCGCAGCCAGTCAGCACTTCGCCAAGCTCACTCCATGATCAAAGCTGGCTCTCTCATGCCTCGCCGAGCACGAAGCTTGCTCACAAGCCCAGTCACTCTTCGACAAGTCAGTGAACCGCGGAGAACCTTGAGCTGGCCCGTTTCGAGGACGGTAGCTCTGTTGGGATCTCTTTCTCTTCCACCATCTCGCCATTTTGTAACTTCCAGACAACATCCGGATGATCGTTCTTGCTGACGCGCTCAACGCTGTAGAAGCAAGTTCGAGGCCTGCGCCTGTTCCGAGTCCCAGCGGGCAGTTCAATGCCTCTGTCGGATATATGTTCTCGGAGAACCCGAACCACGGATTCCGCTTCGTAGTCATCGAAATTCATCAGCGGCTTTTCCAGGATCAAGATTTCTGGATTCATGATCAATGCACGGGCGATGTGGAGCTTGGCTGTTTCTTGAAAGGACAGTGACTCTTGCCAGCCATGCAATTCCGAAGCGATGCGTAAAGCTGATGCCGAGCCGTCCGAAGGCAGCCAGCTCGGCTGCAGCTCGTCTTCTTCAGGAAGGTCATCCCAGCAGCAACAAACACCTTCCTGTACTTTGACAGGACTGGGTTCTTGCAGCATTTGCATCTCCCGCTCTGCGAACTTGCGGGTTTGCCGCATTTCGAGCTTGTTCAGTATCTTGATCATGCGCTGGCGTTCCTCCGGCACTGCTAGAGAGGCTGGATCTCCGAAAAACAGATTCTGCAGCGGCGATGTGTTCATCAAGAACACTTGGTGAGATACCAGCAGGCACCGCAAGTGCGAGGGAATCAGCACCCTGCCTTGGATTTGCAGGCAGCTGAACAAGTTTGTATTGTGCTATCGTTGGAACCGCCGTAAAACACACCCTCTTCTGGACTCCTCACAACCTATCTGATTTACAGTGGGCATGGGTACCGCCCTTCTTCTTGCATCTGGTCTTCTGGCTCTGGATTTTTCCACAACAGCCTCGCCTCAAGAAGCGGCAGAACCTAGGATGTAAATGTAGCATTTCGATCTTGACCGAGGACCCAAGACGTCACGATTTACGTGAGAACAAGAGTTCCTGCACCTGGCAGACTGGGTTTAATCACGGTGCCTGTGCTCGGAGAGGTGTCGCTGCCCAGCGCACGGATCAGCCGTGTCTTTCCCGAGCCTGCACGGCCAACCACTGCAACCAGCTTGCCTCAAGTCGCTACAGCTCGAAAGGTGGTAGGACTTGGGGCTTAGGGCCACCTGTTCGCCTTCCCTTACTCGCACTTTTTTTTCGACAACCTCGACCTTGTGGTACTGACATGTTGACTCCCTGGAATAATTGCCTTCCTTGAAAGCAGAAGCTCAGGTTCTCCAGGCGGACGGGAATCAAATCTGTTCTGACCGCGGACGAGTCTTCTAAGGCAGGGGTCGACAGAATGTCCTTTCGGAGGATGGAAGTCTCTTGCACTCTGCTGTCTATCAACTCACCAAGCTCTTGAACATCCGTGGCTCGATTCAAGAACACGGTGAGATCCACCAAAGGCGAAAACTTTGCAGCTACCCTCCGGATTCTTGCAAAGCCATCTGCGAAATTATGACCCACTTCCTTGAACACAGAGATCGTTGCCAAAAATGTTCCGAGCGAGAGATGGCCAGAAAGCACCAGATGCGAGTAGAAGGCCACGTATCCACCCACGAAAAGCGGACCCAGCCAGTCGAAAAAGAACTCGCTGCGAAGCTCATATGCAACCCATGGCAAGCGTACCTCAGAGAGCTTCGTGGCACGGGCCGCGAATTTGTCATTCATTGCAGGGCGCTGGAAGTAGCCCGCAATGAGCCGATAGTTGTGACTTATCTCACTGACCATGTCACCGACGAGCTTCTGGGAATCATCAGTCTCCTCTGGCTTGTGAAGGAGGCCCTCCCGAAGAAATGCCCAAAAAGCCATAATCACGGGCATCGCGATGGCAGCCCAGGCCACACCAGGATCACTAGAAACCGCGAAATAGTTCAGGACGATGAGCTTCCCCAAGTTCTCTGCAAGAGATGAAATGTCATCGATGCTCTGAGCCAGTTCGTCTGAGGTCTCAATCACGAACTTCTGCACTTCGTGTTGCGAGACTTCCGACCTTGAGCTATCGCTGTAGTTCATGTACTTCCTCATGACCGAAGTCTGCAGAAAGAGTGTGCAGTGGCCTCGGATGTCCATCTGTAGCTTTGCCTCCCGCCAGCAGTGCAAGAGGAGTGGAGCCAACACGTACATCAATGCAATGAGCCGAGCCGTCATTTCAGGGTCATCCGGGATCACCAGTTCCTGCTCCAGGGCATCGTCCTTGTTGAAAATCACGTTCACCATGTACACCGAAGAGACGAGCATAAACCAAGCATAAAGAGTCTTTAGTTGATCGAACAACAACGTCAAGACCAGTCTCCACTTAACGCCGGGCACTGACAGCAAAAGCTTCACAAACTCGGCGAACAACAGAAGCCTGTTCATCTTCCTTATGTCATCTTCGCCCTTTTGCAAAATGCGCTCGTAAGTACTTGAAGGAAAGTAATCCGTGTCCAGCACCTTTACACGGCAAATATTCAGGTACCTTCCCAAGTGGCAACCAACTGGATTCTCCAGCACCACTTTGAACTCCAGCGTTGCCATCCAGCCTGGTGTGTCCAGGACCTCAACAGGAATGCTCTGCTCGTACTGCCCCGGTTGGAAAATCACTTGACCCTGAGTGTGAACATATCGGCTGCCGGCTTTTCCTGAACAGTCCTCCGTTCTGAAGGTACACCGCACTTGCCCAGAAAGCGACCCCAAACGCATCAGCTTAACATTGAGCTCTGCACCCTCTTTGGCCACAAATATTGGAGCTGCAAATTGGATGATGTCCGGGAGGTCATCGGACTCACAATTGAGTGTGTCCTCATCGGGGTCAATGCGGGAGTAATGAAAACCATCTCCCAGCTCCCGGCTGTCGCGACTTTGGCGTGCAGCTTTACCACCACATCCACCCATGGCTGCTCTCTAGGGTATCACTACATGCTTCAACAAATCTTTCCCTTGCCAGCGTACTGGGCTACATGTTAAGGCTTCTCGCCTGTCCGCCCTGACATCTACCGGCATGTGCTCTGCTTATCGTCCACAGGCATAGGCATGGCCTGTGCTGCAAAAGGCTTTCGACCTCTGCGAGCGGTGAACTCAGGCTACTAGTTTGCGGAAGATGTTACTGTGTCCGTCCGTACTGCAGAAACCGCAAACTGCTCAACAAGAGTTGCTTCGGCTCAGTGCAACGCACAAAGATCCCGAATATTACTCATGGCCTTGTTGCTTATCAAGGCTCAATCGCACCGATATGCCGATATATCCCAAGGCAGGTGAGGCGGGATGGATTTCTTGCACCATTCCGTCTTGACCCTGCCTTCGTGAAAATTTAGGTTTCGCTTAGCCGCAGGGACTCGGTTTGTAGTTTGTAATCCTGGCATGTGCGGGAGGGAGGGGTAAGTGACGGCTCACTGGTTCAGGCGTAATCATACGACAGCAACAAAGTAACAGGACGGCGGGCTTTTACCATGCTTTTACTCAACCCTCGCACTATGTGATCTGGCCCCAGCCGAGTGCAATGGGAACCCGGTGACCCGGTGCAAAACTTGTCACAAGTGCACACCAGGTAGTCAGCCCTAGAAAATGTGGGCCTTCTTCAGCTCCTCGCCAGACCTCCAAAAGCGCCTGGGTTGGGTTAACTCAGAAATTCACTTCGTGGAAATGCCTCACACTTTGCTGAGGCAGTTGCTGCTCGTAGACCTCGGGCAATACGAAGCAACGCAGGGATCACCGTAACTGGTTTTCGTGAGACATGCTTTCACGTGTGTATGAAATATTAGCTACACCTTCGAGCTAGTGACTCGTGACATGGTTTGTTTTGAACACTTGCCCTTCGATGTCGCTGCGGATGCCTGGCATGCTACACTGCTCCACTGCCCTGCTTACATGGTGGCTTGGAACTCCTCCGCTCCGGTCCAGCAGCCAGTGAGACAGGCGTCTTCATGCTTCGTTCTGTGCTACTTATCCCAATCTTCGCGAGCCTTCCGTGCTCCTGAACTCCAGCATCTTGACACGATCGCATAGCTGATCGTAGGCATGGGGCATCACGGCTGACGGAATGCCAGGCTGGTCTTCTTCCTGTGCCAGTCGCCGTATCGCACGGCAGCTAGATCTTGTCCATTCCCGAGAACGTAAGGCGCGAGGGGCTGGACTAGTGTGTTGTTGTCGGGCTGGAGAAAGATGATGTTGGACTGCCGCGCACATTGCATATCCGCACCTGCGCGTGCCGACACACGGTGGTGCAAAGCCTTAACACATCCGTTTGTCAGGATCTCGAGCATGTCACCGGCAAAGAGGACTGCAAAGCCTGGAGGCGGCTCAAGCGGCTGCCACACATCACCAACTAATGCTTCCAGGCCCGGGCCAGTGCTATTCTGGAGAGTCAAGACACCATAGTCGGTGTGTTCTGTGCACGAACCATTGCCGGGGTAAAGGCTGTGGCGAAGCCGACTGCCTGCCCACGTCTCTGTGCCAGCCAAAATGTTGGCTCCCAAAGTGCCTCTTGGCTCCCAGTCTTGATGTGTGAGTTGTGGTAACTCGGTGGCCACAAGCTGTGAAAGCGTCAGAAATGAAGACTTGAAGCTTTCAGGGATCCAGTCCAAGTCCTTCCACGACTCCTTCCAGGACTTGCTCCGGAGGGCTGTTTGGCCGACCCCAAAGTTATACCGAACGTCCGGAGTATGGGCTTTCGCCTCTCCCGACAAAGTACGGAGCAAATCCTCGCCCTGCGAAAAGCGAAGGTGGTTGCGCGCCGCCGGCCTGGTCTTGAAAGCACGGAAATCCGAAGTCGCTTCCTGCCACAACTCACGCCAGGCAGCATAGTTCGGTACCGGAAGCTCCAGACTCTGGCAAGACACGAAAACAGCGCCACAAACACCGAGTGCAGCAAAAAGCCCGCTGCCATGTCCAGGGAAGAAGGGCACCGCTACTGACATGCCAGCATCTATACGCCGCCTCTTCGCCAGGCTCGTGCTGTCAGGTTTTACACAAAGAACATCTTCGTTCCGCAGGACTTGGGGTAAGAGTTCGCTTGGATGCAAAGCAAACCCGCTCACGTGACAAAGCAGCTGGGAGCATTCGCTTTCCACATGCCGCTGCTGAAACGACTGTAGGAACTCTGCAACACTTAAACCGCCCGTTGGCAGCGCAATCAAGAGTTTACGCGATCCACTGCGCGCATTAAGGCTGCCGTCCATCTCGATGCGGATTCTTCTGTTGCTCGCAGGGGCGCATCGCTGCTGGATGGCATCCATCTCTCTAGTAGACAGGAATGGGCTCAAACGGCAATTCTTTTGAACACAACCCACACAGGCCAAGGATTTCTAAAGTGTCTTGTTTATTTAACCTGTCACACAGCCAATCTCTGCCGGTTTATCGGAATCGGATCCACTACCGGAGTGTGCGGAGCCGAAGGGTTCAGCAACAGAACTACCGGGGGGTCAGAACTCGGCGAAGTGGGGGCGGTCAGTACACGACTTCGAGGCCAGTGCAATGGCCGCGGGCCACAGCCCCTCCTCACAGCTACAATAAACGGCAATGTGGCAATGCGTGCTGTTGGTCTTGAAAGCGCTGATGCTGGCTCGCAGCCCCGTGTGACCCTGCCCGTCCTGGTGGCGCTTGCGGATGCGCTCCAAATACGTTGCGGTCCTCTTGCAAGCCGAATTTCGCTCAGTGGAAATCGCTGGCTTTCCAGTGCTTTTGCAAATGCAACCAATGCCCAAACAACAACAGTGTCACACATGGCCATACTATCAACATCGCCAAGCGCTAGACTGCTCTGGATCGACGGCATGATGCGCTGTCCAGTACCTGGGCAGCTGCACAAGTGAGGAGCCAAACTGAACCTAAACTTAGCGATTTCTGCGAATGCTACGGGGACTACTACCGACACATTGTTCGGTCTTCTAACCTTGGCGGTCACAACAGAATTCGTAAAGGGCGTGGTTCGAGCTGACCTGGTTCATGTCAGAAACAGTCTCGTCTACAAACAGGGTGCTTCGAAATTGGATCCCATCGTGGTCTGCCCGTCTGTGGCTCCGGCACTTTGGGCACACCCTTTTTGTACCAGCGCTTGTCACCCCCGATGTTGGTACATCCTGAGAAGCACATGGCTGAAGCAGATTGTGCCCGAAAGGAAAGGTATGGGCTGACATGAACAACGTTCCGAGCATTGTTGCATCAGATTCGGGCTAGACGAGTAGCCAATCCCCTCCATGCACCGATTGCCATGGTGCTGCACCCACGACAGCAGGGAGTCGAACTCAACGGTCGCCTTGCGGGATCTTTAAGGGCCTTGCTTGCACACTGCCACATGCCTTGGAGCCTTCAGCCATGAAAGCTGACACCAACATGATTCAAAGACGAAGTGTTTCTTCAATTCCTACTCGATACGAGCTTTCTGGCAAAAAGGTGCGCAACAACTTAGAAAGGGATAAATGCACTAAAACTCAAGAAGGGCATCATGCCAGGCGAGCCGGCACGTCGATCTTGCACCACTGTTTCGTTGCTCGTTCCTCCCAAAGCCCGACCTTGGCAGTTTTTCCAGCGCATGAGTGGCACCACAACATGACCAACACTTGCATAGAGCACAGTGTAGCGTCTACGTTGGGTAGGAAGGCGAAGTGGATCCTACGTGCAATGATATGGTGGCCTTTGCAGCAGTGACAAGCCCTCTGACGATCTACCACTCGCCCTGGTCGTACGCCGCGGCTAGACGATACAAGGCCTGAGGGCCAGCATTGAGCAGGTCTTCATCCTCGTTAATGTCCCCAACCTTGAATGCATGTGCAAGGCGGAAAAAGCTGTGTGTGCAAGCGTCTGCTTTGTGCTATCTGTGCGTTATGGCACCGGCTCTGAGCCCTGCTGCATTGAAGTGCTTCACCTGAGAAAGCAACTCTCGAGCTGTCATCTTCGGCCGAAGACGTGACATGACGGCGGCGCAGGTTCAAGCCGACTCAGCTCGTCAGCTCAAGAGTCATGCCAGCTCGGCCACAGGCCGTCACATTTGGCAATCGCTCGTCACGGAAGTGGCGGCCTGCATTTCTTCAGTTGCTGATGCAATGCCTGGAACTTTGTGGTGAACCAGTGCAACCTTTCGAACATGTTCCTGCAAAATAGCGCTGAAGTCTCTGTCCCCATCTTTTCTGTTAGTGTCTGGTAGTCGTTTGACTAGTTGTTATGTGTTGGCGGGACGGACCCCTCAGAAGCAACACCCAATGCTGCCGAAGTCCACTTCCTGAGTTGCTGGCGGACCCATCTGCCGAAGAAGGGCAAAGCCTGGAGGATGTTGCAAAGCCGATACAGCCGAGGTCTGGAGGCTACTCGTTGCCCGAGCTGCCCAATGCGTCCAAGTCGGATGTGCATGACACCATCGCATTGTCCTTATGCAATTCAACGTGGTCGGCGGCAGGCTGCAGCGGTGAGAGTTGAGTCAGAGGCTGCATCGGGCAAGGCTTGTCTGGATCTGGACAGTACCGCCTCGGTAGCCCCAGGCGTTGTTCTTGTCGGGGTCGGGTGTGATTCCGCAGTTCTTGGATGCTGACGGCCACCAGGGCGCCGCCGGCTGATCCTCCGACATGGATTTGATGTTCGTGCTAACGGCATGGCCAATGCACACGATGGCAAGGGCAGTGACTCCTTGATACTCCAATCCAGGAAGTGGGCGGGCATCAGTGGGAACGAATATTCCTGTGAGGCCCATGCATGTGTACACGAACCAGGCCCAAACAAGACAAGAAGGTACGGACCTAACATCAAAGGACAGGTTGTCTGCAGCGTCCTTGTTCACCCATTTGCTTGTCAAGCTGAACAAGCGGTCGGCTCCTGGCATTAGGAGTGTCCGCAAAGAATCTGCTGCACGCACAGTTTTCCGCAAAGCACGGAAGTGAATAGTCGATTCGGCTTTTTGCACAGAAATGTATGTCAAACAGCTCGAGGTGCGGAAGGATTCGACGAGTTCGGCATCTAGCATCGTGGAGGGCTAGCTAGTAGCACAGCCTAGCACAGGTGTTTAGACTTTGCTTCGCAGTGTAACCGGTGCCGGGCCGACACGGCACGAACATGCTGCTGATAGTGCGCTCTGTGCTCCATCTTTCTCCCAAGATTCTCCTGGTGCGACGAACTGGTCCACGTCGACTTCCACTCCGTTCAAGGCCTTGGATCATTCACGAGAGAGGCCGAGATGGGAGGAATACCGGGGAAAGCAGCCCTAAAAGTGATTGCCGGGCAGGTCACACGCGACATCAAGATGGCTCGCAGCTTGTTGAAGTTAAAGCTCCTTGAAATCAAGCCGGTGCGGCTGGCGTCGTTGTAAGTTTGCGTCAAACTGTGGCATAAACGAAGGTCCTTCTGATACGCGGCTCGTTTGGCAAAGGAGCTGCGTGAAGCACGACCTTACAAGAAGGTCTTTCTCTCGGCTCAGCCTGCACTCTCAACTCCAAGTCGTCTTCAAGACACACAGCGTCTGAGCACGCCTGCCAGCTGTGGGAAGCGCTCTGCGGTCCAGCTTTTCGGTGTGAACAGGCCGAAGTTGAACATGAGGATCGGGTTCTCCCTTAACATACATGTCATGAGAGTTGTCATTCCAAGACGGGAACTATCACGCCGTATTCGCGTGTGCTTGCTCCGTGCAGATTGTGGATAACTCCAAGCTAAAGTGACAGACTGACATAGACTGACAGTCGGATTGGTTTGCCACTTGTGCGTGAAAGCATCAGCGAGAAGAGGAACATGCTGCCGCGCACACGCATTCACGAACGCCGGCGGGGAGGCATGCCAATTAACAGACTGACTGATTGGGTGACATGCACACAACTTGACGTAGACAAAATCACAGTTCCATCCATATCGCATGGCCAAACACACACGCACACAAACGAACGCACGACTCCCGAGCAGCCAGCGAGAAATAGTGGACTGATTTGATGAGTTCCTGCACCAGAGGGCCATTTCTGCTTGTTCGTCTGACGAATTGGACAAGAATCGCTGGCCCAGGTCAATCCTGCAACAAAACAGGTGTTGCCCGGCCTCTGCCATTTTGACGAACTGCGAGGTTGGAGGTCCACCGACATAGCTCACCCATGCCTTCCTGCAAATGCCAGCGTGTGTGTGACACGTTCGTGACAAAGGAAGTGGACGGTTGGAATGCTGGGTTGCTGGTCGCTGAACACTACTCTGCACCTGCGAACTCTGACGGCTGTCACCTGTGCCGATGCGTCTGCGTGGCTGCCAACGAGCTATGGATCTTTTGATACCTGTGTTTACCTTTGGAATACCTGTGGCTCTAGTTCTGACCTGCTCCCATCTATTCGAGCCTGAACCAGCCATCCGAATCTCGCAAACGAGCCCAATTGCTTTTGAAGCGAACGTCGATGCGCGCACCTGAGAATGCAGGAGTTCTGCCAAGCAGCTCATCCCCTACATAATCCAACTTGCTATCGCTTAGAAAAAGCCCTCCACCTCCGCAGCCCATTCAATATCCGCTAGTAAGCACACGGCGCATCAGTTGCTGCCGCATGTCCACGTTTATCTGCCGCGATCCGGCCTTCCGAATGCAAGGATTGGGCAGCTGAAGGCACTCAGCATGAGGCACTCTCTGTGGCTGGTCGGACAACGCATGAGGCACGATTGGTAAGTAGAGAAGAGCTTTATTTAGAGGCTTCGATTCACAAACCACCCGTCCAACTGCCTTGTAGGAGCGATTCAAGTGGGCCTTCTCCTCCCAAGCCTTGGCAAACTGAACAGGTTGCTCTTTTCAAAATCTCTCGCGCTCGCCTCCGAGCAAAGGCCCTCCGTGGCGAGCCACTGGGCTTTGTCGGCCGGCCTCGGTTCAGCCACAAATGAAATCGCGATCAGCGCCGTGGATCTTACGACAGGCGAATACCTGCCCTGAAACACTCGGAACGGAACCCGATCTTTCGTGCCGCGAAGAAGAGCTGGCAAGATGCCACAGTTGATGCTCCGATGGAATCTGCATCCGCCTGAGAAGAGGTTTAATATTGTTGCCGTGTGTGACATCGAATGACTCTAAATTAACTAGATGACATGGAACAAGCTCGGCTGCAATGCATTGGGCAATGATACTGCAAAACACCCGAAGCTAGATCGAGGCAAGCTGTGCATGCGCAACATTCTATGACTCTTCCTGGGGTACGACATGTTTCGACTTACAGTATCTTTGACATGAGCGGCTGCATTGCCTCATCCATTAGCATCGGGTTCATCGCGCGATGGAAATCCGTTCCTGCCGTGACAGCGACGTCAACACAATCTAGGATCCTTTAGTTCCAGCCCTGCGATGAGCTGGCTCCTGGAGTAACCAGGCATTGGCAATGCTTGCCATCATCTCCCGGGACGTTGTCAGGCAGGTGCTGGATACTGCACCTCGACGACAGCTCTGCTTACGGACGCCGGCGCAGCCAATCGTGCCGCACATCTTTTGGCACTGTTTTGCGTCTAGGGCACGTGACTGTGTTGATGTCACCTGCCACGCTTCATCACCCTCATGAAGCTTCGACAGTAATCTTTCGTTGAATCCAACCCTCCCCACCTGCATGGCTATGCTAGTGAGAGGGCCATACAGTACCACAAAAACGAGGCAGAAGGGCTGCCAGGTTTGGCGGCGACGAGGTGCCAAGTTTCCTCGTTCCCCCAGCGAATGTCGCCTCTGCATGGGGTCTTGCGCCGCTTGCAAGTGCCTGCTTTCGCACATGGGAATCTTGCCTGGGCACCAGCAGTCCGACCACTGAGCAGCACAATACACCCAAAAGGGTTCTGAAGAAGCCGTCTGCGCAGCTTGCACATCTCCTGGCCCCAAGCTCTCAAGCTGATGTCCGGGTCGAGTCTGGGACTCGTTCAAGCACATCTGCATCGAAAGCCCGGCCGCCCAGCCCGTGTGCTAATCAGTTAATCACGCCTTGGGCTCCCAGGGGCGCGGCTGGGGTGGCTGCTGAACGGTGGACGTCAACTGCCAGTTGCCAGTGAAGCAGGTGTTGGCCACAGCTACAAATCATGCATGTACATCCAGTTCAAAGGTTAAACTTGATCGATCAGACTGGATGCCCTGGCACGTGGCTGCGACGAGTCGGGGATGTGGGCCTTTTGGCGGTTCTTTGCTGCCATCGGCGACGTTTTCGCTTGCCGGTTGCGGCTCGTAAGCTGTCTTCCTGCTAGGGCTGAGAGATCCATGATCTTTAAAGGAGAGCAACAAAGCTTTGCCCAAGCAACTGCAATGTTCGCCAAGATGCGGCGGACGGTGCCCTTTGCCGCCTTTGCCGACTCGTGGAGCTTCCAGGGCCACAGCATCGTCCTCGCTGGAACCTCCAAAAGGACCACATCAGGATGATTGCCTTTATTGAATCAGCTGCTAACACCGGCACTTGCAAGGCCAAAGGCGCTGCTGGGCCCATGGAGATTGTGCAGCCGAAAGCTGGCGACGCTCCACCAAAGAATTGCTGCCACTCCTGTGGCATTGAGGACGAGATTCCTTGCAGGCACGATGTGCTTGGAAGGAGCACCAGGTAAGCCACATGTCCGCCTGAACTCGGTTTCCGATAAGTCGTTCAGTGATGTGCATGTTGCACGAAGCCAAATCATTTTCATGTCGAGGACTCGCGCACGCGCCTGTGAGCTTCAATGTGAACCTGCCGCCAAGGAACAAGATTCCTCGCAGGCTGAACCCCCAGCTGCTGCGGGTGCTCCGCGACATCCCGGGCCAAGAGATGACGCATCCCTACCAACTGCTCTGGTATTTAGTGCAAGTGACTTTGCAAGCACGAAGTGAAGGGTTGCATAGCTTTTGTCAAAGCCGTTGGGTTACTGCGCTGTGTTGCATCGGTCTTGTGACGATGTAAGCCGACATGCGCATTCAGGGATATTCAAGCTCTGCATGTGTCGGCCGCACGTCATACGCTGTTTGTCAACGCTGCTTGATGGTGAAGGGGCAGGAATCCAATGAACCTCAGTCAAACAAATAACTCAGTCTTCAAATGCTGGAATGCTACTTTTTCGCGGGGTATCTTTAAAACTATTAAAAAAATATTTGCAGTCAAACCGCATACGGAATGCACAGTGACACAAACCCACGATAACACAACAAAGCGCCCCCCTGTCACTTCACCATCGCCTACCCTTACCCTGGGCAAGCACTGCTAAGGCTAACGATGTCCTGCCCCCCTCCCCCCCTGCACGATGCCGTCACTCAGAAAAATGGCCCCACAGAATGAGGTGCGAGTGCGACATGTTACAAGCAGGCTCAGGAAACGTAAACCCAGAAACTACATAACACCTTGGGGATGACCCGGGGTCAATTGGCGGGGCATCGTCCAAGGTCTGAGGAGGCCACAAAAAACCACAAGATTACACAAGGTAACGTAAGGACCCAATATTCACAAGGAAATGGAAAACGGAGCACAGGCCACCGCGGATTCTTGGGCTCGAGCGCGAGTGGTTGCAAACCATCGCAAGCACCTCTGATTGCCTCTGCGTGCGATCACGTCGTCTGTGCTTCGGCTCAGTTTTCCGTTACCCAGCGCATGTCTCTACTTCTGACAGCATTTGCAGGATGCCGCATCAATACTTTCTCCACTGACCCAGAGTGCACGGCTCTGAGAAACGGGAAAAACTTTTGGTCTACAGCTTAGACGCGGCTCAGGCTCGGCAGGAGCGCGAGCAGCAAATCACTAATCATCACTTTTCAGCCCTCTCACGTCAGACTCCGCATCAGAAGCCTTCTGCCAGCTGCACCTTCTCGAACTGCTTCTTCTTGAGGACGAAAGACAGCTGAGCAATGAAGCAGGAGAAGGCAAAAGCGCAGTAGGCATAGACGCGATTCATGTCCTTAGTCTGCTGCACAGTTGCCCGACACAAAGGAGCAAACCTACCGGACCTACCAACTCCCGGAAAGCATCCTGAGGCTAGCCTAGCTTCCTGAAGGATGCACTCCTTCTCCTCTTGTCCGAAGCCCCCAACGTTCGGGTTGGTGGTGATCGGCTCATCCTTCTCGACTTCATCACCAACCTGAACCACAATGTCGGCACCGGGCAAGCACTCCGTGGTCTTAGCCTCACCGGACGGGGTGGTGACCGTCACCTTCAAGCCATCAATGGCGC